AGAGTAGTTTAGCCAAGTGTAAAAAGGTGTAGAGTAGTTTAGCCAAGTGTAAAAAGGTTATAGAGTAGTTTACCTAAGTGTAAAAAGGTGCAGAGTAGTTTAGCCAAGTGTAAAAAGGTGTAGAGTAGTTAGCCAAGTGTAAAAAGGTGTAGAGTAGTTTAGCCAAGTGTAAAAAGAGGTAGAGTAGTTAGCCAAGTCTAAAAAGGTGCAGAGTAGTTTAGCCAAGTGTAAAAAGGTGCAGAGTAGTTTAGCCAAGTGTAAAAAGGTGTAGAGTAGTTTAGCCAAGTGTAAAAAGGCGTAGAGTAGTTTAGTCAAGTGTAAAAAGTTGTAGAGTAGTTTAGCCAAGAGTAAAAAGGTGCAGAGTAGTTTAGCCAAGTGTAAAAAGGTGTAGAGCAGTTTAGTCAAGTGTAAAAAGGTGCAGAGTAGTTTAGCCAAGTGTAAAAAGGTGCAGAGTAGTTTAGCCTAGTGTAAAAAGGTGCAGAGTAGGTTAGTCAAGTGTAAAAAGGTGTAGAGTAGTTTAGCCAAGTGTAAAAAGGTGTCACTCATGCTACTGTGAGGTAATCTAATGTAATAGGACTGGAAAAATACACCGCCAGACTGGGATTCAAACCTAGGACCCTCAAAACTCTAAACACTCTACCAATTGAGCTACCTGGCCGCCGACAATCGACTAAGTCCAGTTCCAATACAGTCCTCCCTCCTTTTTCTAAGTCTTCACTCAAAAGACACAACTATTTACAACCAAGGTTTTGGCATCTCCTTGCCAAGCATCCACCCAGTACTTGAGACAAGAGTTGTCGATCAAGCTTGCCAATTTTGTAATGGGAGAAAGTGAAATGCAATGGCCAGACTGGTACCTGATTCCGGGCCCCCTATAAATTCTAGATGGATGCTTTACCAACTGAGCCACTCAGTCGTCAACGATCCATCCAGTCCAGTTCCCCTACACTTAAATCGGAAGGACAGGATTTAGACGGGATTAATCATTTTCTAAAGTTTACTAAACATGGAGCTATACTGGATATCTTTTTGGTTGCTTACAATAGCTAACAACATACAAGTATTTGTATAATTGTCTTTGATAAACCATTGAACGGGGCATATGTATGGGTGATTTCACAACAAATTGATGAAGGGCCTTAAAGACATAGTCAGTCTCTAATTCATTCACCCCTGAAATTTCTTAATGAACTATTCCAATTTAACCTTTGAATTGGAGGAGTTTAAATGTGTCTTCAGGGGTGAATGAGTTAAGGCCTTTTTATACAGGGGTATTACCAAATAAAAAGTTATTTTTATAAAAATTAGTTGATAATAAGTAATGAATTCTTGAAAACTGAGATATGGGTTTTGGAAAGTCCTTCACAACTCTTTAGATATTTTTCAAAAATTTGTTTAAACTATGTAAGATGTAAAATATATTTTGTAAATTTTTGCAATAATGCATATAAACTTAAATAATTCAGATACTGTATCATTTATTTTCCAAGTCGTACTTCACATCATGACTATGTTTGATGACATCAATCCATGTACACATATGTTGATGACAAACTACCTAATGTCATCATTACTCCACGCACAGGTATTGGCGATAAAGTACCCAATGTGTGATGACATCATGTTTTCTATACACAGAAATTGATGACGTCATGTCGGCAAAAGCTCTCTGGACAACTGACCCATCTGTGGCAATAAAACTAAGGTGTGGAGACACTGGCCCACAAAGTGATGACCCAATCACAGTCGTCTCGGTGTTTGAGGAAACAGTGAAAAAGTTGCCAAAGGGCTTAGCATTAGGTATGTTGAAATAATCATGTTGCCTTCCCTTTTTGTTTGGTCACTCCTTAGTCTACCTTTTAAGTGAACATGTTCCTTACTGACAGCTGGTACAATGTACTGGTTGAATCAGTAGATATAAATGTTAATTATGTATTTGTATCCTAAAATGTTGGTTTTGTATCCCTCCTCTTGTAGACATTCACATTCCATTTCCATCCACTTCCCATTCTTTAAACTTAATGTTGAGAGTAAAAATTCTTTCATCATCTGTTGTATACATAAGAAAAAGCACAAAATTTGCTGGAGTCTGTGGCTAAAAATGAAAGAAACATATTTTATAATGCTACAATATCTAAATTTCCCTATTTGGTAATACGACTCATCTGACTCCTAAAAGATCAAAAGAGCATTTCTTGCTAAAATGAAATAATGCTATGTTTTGTTCTATCACCAGCGGTCAAGCGGAATGGAGACTGGGTGAAGTGGACTTATGAGGAATACTACAATGATGTTAGGATTGCAGCCAAGGCTTTCATTAAGGTACCGACCGTTACTTTGAAGTTCGTAATGATGGTGCCTCATCAGGGATAATCCTGGGATGGAGTCAAGAGGAGGGACCATTTTGATGAAATTTGAAAAAAAAATGAAAAAAATGAATGGGCTATTCAATGTAAAATTATACTAAAATGAAAGAAATAATGGGTTAATAACCCCATAGCCCCCTGCAGGGTTATCTTTGGGCACATGTTGGTATGTATACAGTGTTATTATTATCACATATTCTCTCTGTCACCTACTACAGACATATACTGCCGAATCCTCTTGGGATGGAAGAGTAGTCAAGTCTCACACTCATCTATATACAGTGTGATGGCCATTTTATGAGTGTTATTAAATCTGGGGCATTATCTCATATACTCTGTCAACTACAACTGCCTAATTTTGTATGTGAGTTGTATCCCTTTTCAGATGACAGAGTTTTGTGTACTGAAATTGAATTTAGTGCTCCTCTTTATACAGATTTATGGCCGTTACATATAAATAAATTAAAAATAACTTATAATTTGAATTCATTACTGATAACTTTAGTTTGGCATGAAAAATTTCAAGAGAATTTACTTTTTTCCCAGCTTGGACTAGAGCCCTACCATTCAGTCAGCATTTTGGGATTTAATTCACCAGAGTGGGCAATAGCAGATGTGGGGTGTATATTTGCATGGTAAGACTACACCATTCCATATAATTTTGGAACATGTAATACAATGTATATATTGATTATAATTAATTGTGTTTTCATTGATTTGAAGTTGATGAAATTTTTCCCAAAGTTTTCAAGAAAAATTATGCAATTCTTGGTCGCTCATGAAGCCTCTGCTACATCTTGATATATTTATATTTTAGGCAGTATGTGTATTGTAGTATTTATGGAGCTCATAAGGTCACATAGCATAACTTGAATCTTGCTAATGGCAGAACTTTTACCATGTTGATTTACTCTACTTTGATAACCGTAATGGTAGAGTGTTAAAGCCGCAGTCACATCTTACAGCACGCACGTCCTTGACCGTAGTGGGGGATGACCGTAGTTGACTGTAGCAGACCGTAGGTGACCTTAGTTAAACTTATTCATTGTAGTTAGACGTAGTTTGAACTTCAAGAAACCCATTATTTGGCAGTAGTTAGCCCAAAAACTTTTAACATGTTCAAAATATCTCCACGGTGAGCTTGAATGCCAAGATCCTTCTGTGACCGTACTTTGAATGTAGTTACCCTAGTTGACCGTAATTGATCCTACTTGACTGTAGTGCTTACAGCAGTTGACCGTAGTAGCATCGCACTATGGTTAACACTACGGTCAAGTAGGGTCAAGGAGCGGGGGGGGNCTACTCGATGGATTTTCAATGAAATTTGCTGATAACAATCCTTGCAGCTTGGAGATGTGTGTAAAGTACTTTTCATTGGGTTATCTCTCCTTTTCACAAAGTTATGGCCCTTGTTTCATAAACCTTCAACCTTCTCTAGACCCTGACATTGTATAGAAAATGCAAGAACTTTTTTTATTTTTTTATTCAATTCCTTCCAAATTTGGTATGGTAATACTAAAAGCAATAATGTTTAACATAAAATAAGTTGTTTTTTGTCAGGTTTCATTTTTCTGCATTATGAAAGGTCAAAGGTCATGAATGAATTACGTTACTGAAATGGCTAAATACCTCGGAAAATGGAAGGTATTTTGTATACACAGATACCTAAAAATATTATAGCCAATTATGCAGGCTATATTATGACAAACTTCCATGGTCATGAGGTCAAATGTCAAAGGTCACAGACGCATTATGTTATACTGAAATGGCTAATTATCGAAGAAATGGTAGGTATTTTGTATACAGATTCAAGCTATATTGTGAAAAATTCTGAGGTCATTGGGTCAAAGGGCAAAAAGCAGCCGTAATGCTGTATTAGTTAGCATATAGGCGACAGTTCTAGTTGCAATTTTATGCTTGAACAAAAACTTACCAACAAAAAATAAAATCTTTTTTCATTTCAGTGGTCTTGCTACTGGTGTCTACACAACAAATTCTCCGGAAACCTGTAAGTTTGTTTTGTCCGATTCAAAAACGAACATCGCTGTAGTGGAGAATGACGTACAGCTTCAGAAGATCCTTGGGATCTGGGATGACCTGCCCCACCTAAAAGCCATTGTACAGTACACTGGAGAACTCAAAGAGGCCAAAGAAAATGTCTACACTGTAAGTTTTTTGAAATCTTTGCCATGCAGTCAAAATATTGGCTAGAGGGATATAGCAAGTTTCTGGTTCCCGAAGACCAGGTCTATTTCCAAATACAAATCTTGCTATATCCCCAAATACAAATACTGTAACTGTTTTCTTATTCAAATTAAGGAACCACATACATTTAAATAACTATAACCAGTATTCCGAGGTGTAAATTCCAAAATCCTATCGCAAGCCATATCTGCTCTTTCACTGTTTTCAGAAATGTCTCAATTTATAAATAAAATGAGATGTCAAGGTCGAATACTGGCTCCAGATAATTGAAAACTAATCAATATCATAGCCATGATTTAGTGCAGCATTTTCAGTGTAAAAAGTGATAAAACAAAATCACTGCTAAAATATATTCATTTTCAGCAACTTAATTTAAGTGACATGTGGTTTCCAATGACTGTTGTGCAATATTTGGTTGAAAATTAGCTAAACACTCTTCAATTTTTGAAAGCCTCCACATGCACCAAACCAATAAATATTTGACATGCTTAAACATTGTCATACCAGTGTTCATTCATATAAAGGAATTTGTGTTTGTCGCATGCAGGGGCTTTCATTTCTGCATGCTAAACTGTCCAAAAACACCATGTTTCGGCTATTTCTGTATAGCAACACAATTTTGTTGCTATATTAGGGCATCTACGCATGCGCATTGGAAAAAATCTTCATCAAGAAAGATAGCCCCAATATACCAATATGATGTATATAACAGAAACTGTTGAATACATTCAAGTTGAAATTTTTACTTTATATGAGGCCAAAAAGGACCCATAACGCCTTTGTAAGTGAGTACTTGTTTGGGTGGCAGTGTGTTGCTTTCTCAAATCTGATCTTTTGTCTCTTGATACAGAGTTATTGCCCTTTGTTCTTTTTTGACACCAAAGGTTTGTCGTGATCAGGTCTGTGAATTACTCACAACATTTTATCTTGTTTGTTCAGTGGAAGGAGTTCATGGCCAAGGCGGAGGGTGTACCAGATTCTGTTCTTCAGGAACGACTCATGATGCAGGCCCCCAACAAGGCCTGTAGCTTGGTGTATACGGTAAGTAAAACATGTGTCCTCTTTAAGACTTCTCCTCAAGAATGGCAATGTAGATTCTAACCAAACTTAGTAAATATGTTCATGAGTTTATATTTATTCAAACTCCAAAGTGGCCACCATATTATCTGTAACTTGTTTTAATATTTGTCTTCTTTTATTGCTGTCTAATATGACCGATATGTTGTGTCTTACAGGGTGTCAGATTAGACATTTTCCACTGTATGTTCACAATAGTTTGTGAAAAGAATTCATTTATAGGCACTGTAACAAAAATAACTTTGTTAGCAGAAAATAATTAACTTCGGATAATCAGATGGTATTCATGATATTTTTTTATCAATTTTTCAGTCTGGAACAACAGGCAACCCTAAAGGTGTAATGCTGAGTCATGACAATGTAAGTATAAGTATGTAAGAAAAGTGAAACCTCAGAAGTTCATACACTGTGGTTTATGTGTACAATTGAACCTGTAGTCTGCACTTCTTGGTTTGTGTGTACAGTGGAACCTTGTTAGTCTGTACATTCCGGTTTTGTGTCAAGGTGGAACCTTAGAAGTCTGGACACTTTGGGTTGTGTGTAAATTGGAACCTTGTTAGTCTGAACACTTTGATTTGTATGTACAGTAGAACCTTGTTAGTCTGAACACTTTTGCCTGTGTTTACAATGGAACCTTATTAGTCTGTACACTTTGGTTTGTGTGTACAGTGAACCTAGTTAGTCTGAACTCTTTGATTTGTATGTACAGTGGAACCTTGTTAGTCTGAACACTTTTGCCTGTGTTTACAGTGGAACCTTATTAGTCTGTACACTTTGGTTTGTGTGTATAGTGGAACCTTGTTAGTCTGAACACTTTTGTTTGTGTGTACAGTGGAACCTTATTAGTCTGAACACTTTTGTTTGTGTGTACAGTGGAACCTTGTTAGTCTGAACTCTTTGATTTGTGTGTAAAGTGGAACCTTGTTAGTCTGTTAACACTTGTGTGTAGAGTTGATCTAGTCAGTCTGAATGCTTTGTAGAACATGAGTTGTTTTGATAATGCTGAGTCTTGTAAGATGTTTAGCCTCATCACCTGACAAAAAAATCATTAGCATAAAGGAGCTATTAAAAGTTTGCTTGTTTATCCATCCGTACGTACTTTTGTACAAGATCTCCTTTAGACATTTGTGTTTTGCTCCAAGACATTCCATAAAGCTCCGTATCCATCCAAGTGAATTGGGGGTGCATGTGTATATTTTACAGATATTTTCTAATTTTTGCCTAACTTCTTGGTATAATGATTTAACATGTTATGAAATTTGTCTTCAGAGTTGATACACAGGTGAAATCTACTGACAGGTAGTTAGTTAGTATCGAAAGAAAAAAGTTGCAATACCGATCCCAATCTCAATGATATAGTTTTAAAACAAACAATAAACATTTGAAACCGAGCATTTACACTGGCAATATATATTTCAGGTCACATGGATATCCCGGCAACATGGCAACAATGTCCATTACAAATTTGGTGTGGAGGTTGCCGTGAGTTATCTTCCCCTGAGCCATATTGCTGCACAGCTGATGGACATCCACATTCCTATAGCATTTGCAGGCGTCATATATTTTGCACAACCTGATGCACTTAAGGTACGTGGAGTATGACCAACTTTTCTATAAATTTCTGACAATACCTTGTTTGAATATTTGTTTGCCTTTTTAATTCTTACAATTATTTTAACTTAAATTACCGCAGAATGTTTAACCCTTTCACCACTGTAGTCCATAATGGACTCATCCATATCAATGCATGGTAGAGTCTACTTAAGTTACATAGGGGTGAGAGGGTTGACTCATTCACCCCTAAAATTTCATAATGAACTACCAATTAGTTTAAGCTAATCTGTAGGCTATGGCGCTATTGAAGTTAAGGAAAACAGTTAAGGAACATTTGTGAAAATGAGGCCTGGCCAGAATTTCTAAAAAAAAAATAAAAAAATAGTCTTTCTGTTCACATTTCAAGAAATAACATGCTTCAAACTTTAAGAAATGAAAAAGAAAATGAAAAAGAAAATGAAAATGAAAAATTCATGTTTGCTCAGTAAACATTTATTTTCAAATTGAAATATCATTTTTAACAACCTTAGAAAATATAGTGAAATGTATACATGTTATGTTGAAATAAAGAAATATGTTAACAGTTCAATCATGATCATATTGAATAAAACCAATTATTTATAAAAAAAATGTCACTTTTAGAAGGGTTCCCCCCTCATTTTTTATCAGGAAATTGGATCAGAACATATTATAATAAGGGTATTAAGTTCGAAGGACACGCCCAATCAAATATTTCATGTATAATCCACATGAAGTTTATTCTACAACAAAAATGTTAACCAGGAGTTTCCTTTTTTCCCAAAATAGTTTTACCATCAAATTAGTGAAATCAGATGAGATTCAAAAAAGGGTCTGTTATGTCGAGGTTTGGGGAATGGTTGATGGAGGATGATGACACGACTCGAGAGATGAAATTAGACGCCATTTAATGATTCTCCTTCTCCAGCAACAATTACAAAACCAGTTGGCGGTAAACTTATCTGGACTCAAGTATATATAAACTAATAAAATAAACAACTAAATATCCGGAACGGGTTACTTCCCCTTAGACCATAAATGATATAATTAGATATCTCGCAGACCAGTATATATACATAACAGGTCACACTATTGTCATGCTATTAATTTTTACACCTCATCATGTTAGTATTGTTTCTAAAAGAATACTGATTGGCTTGTCAATAAGAATTTATACAAAATGGTGTTTGGTAGATTGAATTATTGAGACCAATTGATAATAGAAAATCGGTTTAGAAAAAATAGAAAAACAACAGCCCCATCAACTAATCAACTTGTGGTGACAGTTATTAAATGGTCTGTCTGTTATTTGTTATTTTCACAACATGAACAACTATATAGGTACATGATATGTAGTATGGTCATAGATGAAGACAGTGATATATGTCTAAGATGGCCATTTTTTTTCACTCGGGGTGGGGGCTTATTTGCTGTCTAATACGGTAATAATGATCAGGTCAACTTGAGACTGAATAACTTTATACTCTCTCAACATATGTTGAAGATTTTCCATAGGCTGTACGTTAAAGACATCAAGTTAGGAAGATGAGGCATTTTAAACATTCTTCTGGTTCAAGCTCATAATTAGATATTTTTATACTGTTGGCAGGGTACACTGAGGGATACCTTGAAAGAGGCTCGTCCAACGGCTTTCTTTGGCGTCCCTCGTGTATGGGAAAAGTTTATGGAGAAAATGGTAGAGAAAGGAAAATCTGTGACCGGAGTGAAGAAAATGATCGGCACTAAGGCTAAAGAAATTGGCCTTAGAGGCGTCTACGCCAAAATGAACAAGTACGTACATTTTTAAACATATTTATCCATCAATGAGCCAAAACCTGGTAATAATATCTAACCATCATTTTCAGGAGACAAACATTCATTTTACAATATACATACACAGTGAAACCTGTATCAAGAGACCACTCCAGGAAAGTCTTTAAAGTGGTCTCTTAAAGCAGGTGGTCTCTTAAAGCAGGTGGTCTCTTAAAGCAGGTGGTCTCTTAATACAGGTTCACTTCATAATGAAATACCGGCAAAAGGCACATTGAAAATGGCCCCTAAGACAGATATTATCTTAACCCTTTCACCACTGTAGACTGTAATGGACCAGATCAAGGCATGGTAGTCTTCTAAAGTTGCATTTGGGTGAAAGGGTTAATGGGGGGTGATTACACGAGCATGTTTGGCTGTATTTTCTATACCTGCAATTGTGCCTGTGTCAAATGTCTAAATTAAAATTTCGTAGTGGACCTTTGGCTTTTTTGAAGGGAATTATAACAATAATCTAAAATATTTCTTCACATCAATGTTATTTACTCTCTTCAATATTGCCACACTTTCACTTTTTTTTTTACAACAGAATGATAGTTGTTAATTTGTAAGTTCTTACAGAGTTTAAAACCCACTATCTTTTAACACTGAACACTGACTAATCTAACACAACATTACTTTACAGACACCTGATGTTAGTGTTTTTGACCTAACTGTAGCCTGATTTTATCAATACCTGATTTAACAGACATCTAACTTTTCTGTCACCTGACTTCATAGACACCTGACTTTACTGACACCTGATTTGACTGGCCCCTGACTTTTCTGCCACCTGACTTCATAGACACCTGACTTTACTGACACCTGATTTGACTGGCCCCTGACTTTTCTGTCACCTGACTTCATAGACACCTGACTTTACTGACACCTGATTTGACCGGCCCCTGACTTTTCTGTTACCCAAATTTTCTGACAGGTGACTTATTAAGACAACCATCAATCCCTAGACAACCTAGTGACAACTTCTCATGAATAGGTCTGCATTTGGCATTGTGTCTCCAGAATTTCCGTTAACTTCTTATCAGCGAAGTTTATTTTACTGCAATATTATGCTGGACTCTGGTCACCTCTTTTCTGATGTGTTCATAGAGAGTCGATGCCATTCGGATGGACCTTGGCCAATATGATGGTGTTTAACAAAGTCAAAGCTGAGCTCGGATTGGACAGATGCGCTATGACATACTCAGGTGCAGCTCCAATTTCCCATGAAACCATCGAATATTTCTACAGCCTCAATATTCCTCTGCTGTCTGTGTTTGGACTTAGTGAGTCGACAGGTATGTGTTTTAACTCAGTGAGTCAACAAGTATGTGTTTGGACTTAGTGAGTCGGCAATAATGTGTTTGGACTCAGTGAGCCAACAGGTATGTGTTTGGACTCTGTGAGTCAACAGGTATGTGTTTGGACTTAGTGAGTCGGCAATAAGTGTTTGGACTTAGTGAGTCAACAGGTATTTGTTTGGACTCGGCGAGACTACAGGTATGTGTTTGGACTTAGTGAGTTAACAGGTATGTGTTTGGACTCAGTTAGCCAACAGATATGTGTTGTGTTTTGACTCAGTGAGTCAACAGGAATGTGTTTGTACTCAGTGGGTCAACAGCAATGTGTTTGGACTCAGTGAGTCAACAGGTATGTGTTTGGACTCTGTGAGTCAACATGTATGTGTTTGGACTCAGTGAGTCAACAGGTATGTGTTTGGACTCAGTGAGTCAACAGGTATATGTTTTGACTCAGTGAGTCAACAGGTATGTGTTTGGACTCAGGTTCATCCCATCCCTTCATATTGTGTTCCATCCCATTAAATTGCCATTCATTATCATGACTTGACTGACTTCATTTCTTAACAAATTTTCATCAGATGCCAGGCAGTCAACTTGGATTTTAATAGTTCAAGTTTGTTGTTGTTATTTCTCAAGACGTACTTGACAGATCTTTCTCTTCATATGCATGTTCCCTGTGGTCCTAAGTTGTGCATGTTTCTTTTTAGGAAAATGAAATAGCCACTAGGCAGCCATCTTGGAATTTTGAGAGTTATTTCTCTATAAGCACTTGACAGATATTTCTTGAATTTCGAACGAAAGTTCCCCATTGGTCAGAAGTTGTATATGTTTTATTTCGGAACTGATTGGAAAAACAAGATGGCAGTCAGGCCAATAAGCTGAACCCCTGGAATTTCAAAGATGTTGCCAGTACGTCTGAAATCAACTTTCAAACAACAGGCCTATTCATTTGTGTGTTTCACAGGTCCTCATGCTGTAGATACTGTAACGGATTTCAGGATAGGCAGTGTTGGCAAGGAAACACCTGGATGTGAAACAAAAATAGCAGATCCGGATGAAGATGGAAATGGAGAGGTAAGAATTTATAATAATGATTATACTTCATGTGAAAAAAATTGCTTTGATGTACTTGATCATAGAAAAAGATGTGCAGTAAATTGACAAAAATGTGCAAAATGCCAAAATTTTGATTTCATTCTTTGTTCCAATGATACTCAAAAGAAAATGGGAAGTGTCCACTCTAGAGTAAGATGTAAATACAAGGGAGATAACTCAGCAAAGGTTTTATGTTTTTTAATCAACGTTTGAAATGTGATGTACATAAAGTTTAATATTTTGTTGGTTTGTTTGGGGTTAACAACAGGAAAATAACCAAACAGAACTGTTCTATCTTTACTTGTTAACAACAGGAAAGTAACCAAACAGAACTGTTCTATCTTTACTTGTCAACAACAGGAAAGTAATCAAACAGAACTGTTCTATCTTTACTTGTTAACAACAGGAAAGTGACCAAACAGAACTGTTCTATCTTTACTTGTTAACAACAGGAAAGTGACCAAACAGAACTGTTCTATCTTTACTTGTTAACAACAGGAAAGTGACCAAACAGAACTGTTCTATCTTTACTTGTTAACAACAGGAAAGTGACCAAACAGAACTGTTCTATCTTTACTTGTTAACAACAGGAAAGTGACCAAACAGAACTGTTCTATCTTTACTTGTTAACAACAGGAAAGTGACCAAACAGAACTGTTCTATCTTTACTTGTTAACAACAGGAAAGTGACCAAACAGAACTGTTCTATCTTTACTTGTTAACAACAGGAAAGTGACCAAACAGAACTGTTCTATCTTTACTTGTTAACAACAGGAAAGTGACCAAACAGAACTGTTCTATCTTTACTTGTTAACAACAGGAAAGTGACCAAACAGAACTGTTCTATCTTTACTTGTTAACAACAGGAAAGTGACCAAACAGAACTGTTCTATCTTTACTTGTTAACAACAGGAAAGTGACCAAACAGAACTGTTCTATCTTTACTTGTTAACAACAGGAAAGTGACCAAACAGAACTGTTCTATCTTTACTTGTTAACAACAGGAAAGTGACCAAACAGAACTGTTCTATCTTTACTTGTTAACAACAGGAAAGTGACCAAACAGAACTGTTCTATCTTTACTTGTTAACAACAGGAAAGTGACCAAACAGAACTGTTCTATCTTTACTTGTTAACAACAGGAAAGTGACCAAACAGAACTGTTCTATCTTTACTTGTTAACAACAGGAAAGTGACCAAACAGAACTGTTCTATCTTTACTTGTTAACAACAGGAAAGTGACCAAACAGAACTGTTCTATCTTTACTTGTTAACAACAGGAAAGTGACCAAACAGAACTGTTCTATCTTTACTTGTTAACAACAGGAAAGTGACCAAACAGAACTGTTCTATCTTTACTTGTTAACAACAGGAAAGTGACCAAACAGAACTGTTCTATCTTTACTTGTTAACAACAGGAAAGTGACCAAACAGAACTGTTCTATCTTTACTTGTTAACAACAGGAAAGTGACCAAACAGAACTGTTCTATCTTTACTTGTTAACAACAGGAAAGTGACCAAACAGAACTGTTCTATCTTTACTTGTTAACAACAGGAAAGTGACCAAACAGAACTGTTCTATCTTTACTTGTTAACAACAGGAAAGTGACCAAACAGAACTGTTCTATCTTTACTTGTTAACAACAGGAAAGTGACCAAACAGAACTGTTCTATCTTTACTTGTTAACAACAGGAAAGTGACCAAACAGAACTGTTCTATCTTTACTTGTTAACAACAGGAAAGTGACCAAACAGAACTGTTCTATCTTTACTTGTTAACAACAGGAAAGTGACCAAACAGAACTGTTCTATCTTTACTTGTTAACAACAGGAAAGTGACCAAACAGAACTGTTCTATCTTTACTTGTTAACAACAGGAAAGTGACCAAACAGAACTGTTCTATCTTTACTTGTTAACAACAGGAAAGTGACCAAACAGAACTGTTCTATCTTTACTTGTTAACAACAGGAAAGTGACCAAACAGAACTGTTCTATCTTTACTTGTTAACAACAGGAAAGTGACCAAACAGAACTGTTCTATCTTTACTTGTTAACAACAGGAAAGTGACCAAACAGAACTGTTCTATCTTTACTTGTTAACAACACGAAAGTGCCCAAACAGAACTGTTTTATCTTTACTTGTTAACAACAGGAAAGCGACCAAACAGAACTGTTCTATCTGTACTTGTTAACAACAGGAAAGTAATCAAACAGAACTGTTCTATCTTTACTTGTTAACAACACGAAAGTGCCCAAACAGAACTGTTTTATCTTTACTTGTTAACAGCAGGAAAGTGACCAAACAGAACTGTTCTATCTGTACTTGTTAACACTGGAAAGTGACCAAACAGAACTGTTCTATCTTTACTTGTTTACAACAGGAAAGTGACCAAACAGAACTGTTCTATCTGTACTTGTTAACAACAGGGAAGTGACCAAACAGAACTGTTCTATCTTTACTTGTTAACAATAGGAAAGTAACCAAACAGAACTGTTTTTTCTTTACTTGTTAACAACAGGAAAGTGACCAAACAGAGCTCTTCTATCTTTGCTTGTTAGCAACAGGAAAGTGACCAAACAGAACTGTTCTATCTGTACTTGTTAACAACAGGGAAGTGACCAAACAGAACTGTTCTATCTTTACTTGTTAAAAACAGGAAAGTGACCAAACAGAACTGTTCTATCTGTACTTGTTAACAACAGGGAAGTGACCAAACAGAACTGTTCTATCTTTACTTGTTTACAACAGGAAAGTGACCAAACAGAACTGTTCTATCTGTACTTGTTAACAACAGGGAAGTGACCAAACAGAACTGTTCTATCTTTACTTGTTAAAAACAGGAAAGTGACCAAACAGAACTGTTCTATCTTTATTTGTTAACAACAGGAAAGTAAACAAACAGAACTGTTCTATCTTTACTTGTTTACAACAGGAAAGTGACCAAACAGAACTGTTCTATCTTTATTTGTTAACAACAGGAAAGTAAACAAACAGAACTGTTCTATCTTTACTTGTTAACAACAGGAAATTGACCAAACAGAACGGTTCTATCTTTACTGGTTAACAACAGGAAAGTGACCAAACAGAACTCTTCTATCTTTACTTGTTAACAACAGGAAAGTAAACAAACAGAACTGTTCTATCTTTACTTGTTAACAATAGGAAAGTAACCAAACAGAACTGTTTTATCTTTGCTTGTTAACAACAGGAAAGTGACCAAACAGAACTCTTCTATCTGTACTTGTTAACAACAGGAAAGTGACCAAACAGAACTGTTGTATCTTTACTTGTTAACAACAGGAAAGTGACCAAACAGACCTGTTCTATCTGTACTTGTTAACAACAGGAAAGTGACCAAACAGAGCTCTTCTATCTTTGCTTGTTAGCAACAGGAAAGTGACCAAACAGAACTGTTCTATCTGTACTTGTTAACAACAGGGAAGTGACCAAACAGAACTGTTCTATCTTTACTTGTTTACAACAGGAAAGTGACCAAACAGAACTGTTCTATCTGTACTTGTTAACACTGGAAAGTGACCAAACAGAACTGTTCTATCTAGGAAAGTGACCAAACAGAACTGTTCTATCTTTATTTGTTAACAACAGGAAAGTAAACAAACAGAACTGTTCTATCTTTACTTGTTAACAATAGGAAAGTAACCACACAGAACTGTTTTATCTTTACTTGTTAACAACAGGAAAGAGACCAAACAGAACTGTTTTATCTTTACTTGTTAAAAACAGGAAAGTGACCAAACAGAACTGTTCTATCTTTATTTGTTAACAACAGGAAAGTAAACAAACAGAACTGTTCTATCTTTACTTGTTAACAACACGAAACTGACCAAACAGAACTGTTCTATCTTTACTTGTTAACAATAGGAAAGTAACCAAACAGAACTGTTTTATCTTTGCTTGTTAACAACAGGAAAGTGACCAAACAGAACTGTTGTATCTTTACTTGTTAACAACAGGAAAGTGACCAAAAAGAACTGTTCTATCTTTACTTGTTAACAACAGGAAATTGACCAAACAGAACGGTTCTATCTTTACTGGTTAACAACAGGAAAGTGACCAAACAGAACTCTTCTATCTTTACTTGTTAACAACAGGAAAGTAAACAAACAGAACTGTTCTATCTTTACTTGTTTACAACAGGAAAGTGACCAAACAGAACTGTTCTATCTGTACTTGTTAACACTGGAAAGTGACCAAACAGAACTGTTCTATCTTTATTTGTTAACAACAGGAAAGTAAACAAACAGAACTGTTCTATCTTTACTTGTTAACAACACGAAAGTGCCCAAACAGAACTGTTTTATCTTTACTTGTTAACAGCAGGAAAGTGACCAAACAGAACTGTTCTATCTGTACTTGTTAACACTGGAAAGTGACCAAACAGAACTGTTCTATCTAGGAAAGTGACCAAACAGAACTGTTCTATCTTTATTTGTTAACAACAGGAAAGTAAACAAACAGAACTGTTCTATCTTTACTTGTTAACAATAGGAAAGTAACCAAACAGAACTGTTTTATCTTTGCTTGTTAACAACAGGAAAGTGACCAAACAGAACTGCTTTATCTTTACTTGTTAACAACAGGAAAGTAATCAAACAGAACTGTTCTATCTTTACTTGTTAACAACACGAAACTGACCAAACAGAACTGTTCTATCTTTACTTGTTAAAAACAGGAAAGTGACCAAACAGAACTGTTTTATCTTTACTTGTTAAAAACAGGAAAGTGACCAAACAGAACTGTTCTATCTTTACTTGTTAAAAACAGGAAAGTGACCAAACAGAACTGTTCTATCTTTATTTGTTAACAACAGGAAAGTAAACAAACAGAACTGTTCTATCTTTACTTGTTTACAACAGGAAAGTGACCAAACAGAACTGTTCTATCTTTATTTGTTAACAACAGGAAAGTAAACAAACAGAACTGTTCTATCTTTACTTGTTAACAACACGAAACTGACCAAACAGAACTGTTCTATCTTTACTTGTTTACAACAGGAAAGTGACCAAACAGAACTGTTCTATCTTTACTTGTTAACAACAGGAAATTGACCAAACAGAACTCTTCTATCTTTACTTGTTAACAACAGGAAAGTTCTATCTTTAATTTTGAAATGTGATCTTTTTCCAAATTTTCCAAATTTTCAACTCACTAAAGGGAGGTACATGTAACAACATTTGCATTGTGACATCAGATTGTTGAATTCTAGTTCCTCTGGGGTCATGGGGTCATGTCACAGGTTAAGTGTATACTATTGTGATTATACAGATATGTTTACGGGGTCGACACATTTTCATGGGATACATTGGAAATGAAGAAAAGACAAGTGAAGCCATTGACCAAGCAGGTTGGCTAAAATCCGGAGACATCGGCAAACAGGACAAAGATGGATTCCTATATGTGACAGGCCGAATTAAAGGTTTGTCAGAATTACTTATGGTGTAATCATCGTCCTTTCTTTTTTATGAAGTTCGTCAGATATGTATTTTTGAGATCTTTTACAAAGATCAAAATGAGTTTTACTTATTCTCCGTAAGGTCAATGCAGTAATGTTTTGTTTCAAAGACTCTTTTGACTCAGAATTCTAACTCATTCACCCCTGAAATTTCATAATATGAACTATGAACTATTCTAACCTTTGAATTGGAAGAGTTCAAATGCATTTTCAGGGGTGAATGAGTTAGCTTTATGAAAGCTCATGCTGAGTGTAAAACTTGTTTATTATGATTCTGGCAATAACTTCACAGGGCGTATTGATGGAATGTTCAGAAAACTAGCTATAACATGTTATGTCATTCCACTTATGAAATATTCATAATTGCCAAATTCAATGAGAATTAACCCTCTTAAAGGTCGACTGGTAACTGTGTTCATGCTAAGCTCTTTGCAATTTTTCGTAAAAATGGTCACCATGCAATAGCAAAATAAAATAAGTCGGCATATTGTGATGGAACACACTTTGACCATACACCCCCCCTCCCAACAATGAAGAAAAAAGAAAAAGAAAGGAATTTATAAAAGACATAGTGCTTATTAGGTCCGATTAAGTATATTTTTTTTTCTTTCTGTCAACAGAATTAATTATCACAGCTGGAGGAGAGAATGTGGCACCAGTGCCGATCGAGGCCAATGTGAAGGAAGCCCTCCCCTGTGTGTCTAACTGTATGGTGATTGGCGACCAGAAGAAATTCCTCAGCATGCTTATAACACTCAAGGTTTGTAGAGGAAAGATTTCACTCAAACTTTATACTCAAAGATTTGTATCAGTCCGTGTAACTTCAGAGACATGACTGCAGATTCAGGGAGGAGAACATGCCTGCTGTAGCTCAATGCATGTTGGAAAAGGCAACTCATGTGGGACCCCCTGCAGAGTTGTGTTTTCTCTTCCATGTCTTCTGTTTTAGATATAAACTTTATTTATTTTACAACAATTATAAAACAACTTATTTCAACTTATGTTAATCACTCTGGTTTGCCCGGATGGTAGCACACGTGGGAGTAAAAAAACCCACCTGGAGTACCCAGAGAAAACCCAAGTGGTCGGGCAGGCAACCCCATACCTTTTCACGTCCGATCAGGGAATCAAACCCTGGTTGCTTTGATGAAAGGCAAGTGCGCTATGCACTGCACCACCCGACCACCCTAAGGGTGTGTTAGAGGACATTTCTTTTCTTTCTTCTCTACACTTTGGTGGCGTCTCCCAAGGCGATGGTTTTCCAATGACCTGGGCTGTTGTGAGGACGTTAAACCCCAAACAAACAAACAAACAAACCTCATGTCACTCATAATTTGTAGCTTTAGAAACTTACGTTGGTTATTTATAAACAGGCATGTTCTCTCAACTTCTCTGTAATGTGTATATTCAGGTCAATTTCAGATTAAGATTTTTGCAGGTGAACTTTACCTCAACTTCAAGAAATGTTTGCCTGTGTATATGTCATACAAATGAAGCATGATACTGATTTTAAAGCCTTTACATTGAAATCTGTTTTAGTGACCTCCTTTCTCCCACATTTCACAGGTGTATTCTCGGTTTTGCTAGGGAAACGACAAACTAGTGTTTATACATTATACATTAAGTGGCATACACTGTTGTAAATCTTTAATATTATAAAGATAAAAAAAAGTACAGCAGATCAGATTTTCTACAATCATTGTTCTTCTGTAATCTTGTTCAAGAAGGCCTATATAAATCGGAGTAACTGTATTTTATCAAGGTTGAAATGAATCCCGACACGGGAGCCCCATCAGACGCCCTGACAGCGGAGGCTGTGGAGTGGTGTAAATCCGTCGGCAGTGAGGCCACAACCATGGCTGACGTCCTGGACAACAAGGATAAAGATGTACTGAAGGCGATCCAGGCCGGTGTGGACAAGGCTAATGAAAAAAACACTTCCAGGGCTACAAAGATACAAAAATGGTCAATTCTTCCAACTGATTTCTCCATTCCTGGTGGAGAACTGGGTAAGATTATGAAATCAATGTATCAAAATTTATCAAATAATTAATAAAATTTCTTGGAGTTATATACCCTTTTATTTAGGGACCAAAATATTGATACTCCCAAGCACGAATAAAAATGAAAAGTTAAGGCAAACAATCGAAATCGATGTATATTATTATCCATCATTGTAATGCTGACAGGGGTTGTGGTTATACCATCTGTCTGTCATTCCGAGGCGTTGCCAGGAGCATATCTCCCACATTATTTCACCTGCAATCATTAAAGGTGGTATGCTGGTAGATCTTCGGAAGGTAGGATATTATGTAAAAATGAGGTCACTGTGACCTCTATTTTGACCTTAATTAAAAGTGCAAAAATGTCAGATACAGCTTGTCCATAGCATATCTCCCCCATTACTGAACCTGCGATCATCAAAGTTGGTTTGCTGGTTCCCCCTACGAAAGGTGGAATGTCACATACCCCCCCNNCCCCCAATCACATTCAAAGCATGTCAATTTTACTTTGAGCCTGTACTTAATAAAAAAAATCTGTATTCTGTTTAGGACCAACTCTCAAGACCATGAGACCCAAGATTGTTAAAAAGTACGAGGATACAATAGAGGCGTTTTACAGTGAATCATAGTCAAATCTGACGACATTGACGCTATAAATCAACGGTTGACTGGAACAAAAATATCATGTTTCCTGCAGTAATCCTGAGGAAACCTGTGTCAGCTGATAGAGGAGGTAAAAGGTGTGCAGGGATGTATTCCCAAATTTGACTCTTTGCGGAAAAGGATGAAGACATCTCGTCACATCGACAAACTCTCTGAAATGGAGAGGAGAGGTGGGCTGATAATGGATTTTCCACACACAAAATGTGGTAGTCACCGAGGTTTCGTGGTTTTGTACGCAATTTTATTACGCATCAAATGCTGGAACATTGAATTTCAGTTGTAAGTTAGGTGTTGCAAATCTGTGGCATATAGCTTTTTTTCTTATTTCTTTTGTGTCTTTTCTGGAAAATCTTAAGATTTCGCGAAGAGATCAAAAAGGATGTAACAGATATTGTTTTGAACTCTATTTCAACAGATACTGTACTCAACATGTTTACAGGAAGAAAAGATACTCTGCCTATAATAGCTGAACTATGCAAGACATTGTTTTAATAGATTGTAATGAGATTAGGTATTTGTATTGTTGATCCTCAATTTTGTTATTACCGGTACACATATCTGTAGATGTGTTTGGGCTAATTTTTTCTATGCAGACCCAGTTTCATGAAAATTTCTAATTTTTAAGAAAATTTCCTTGACTTACCAAGTAAGGTTTTCCCTCCTTTCTCCAATAGTTCATTCCTATGGAAAAATATAAGTTTAGGATTTTTTTTCTTTTTCTAATAGGAATATTCATGAAACTGGAAATGGACTACAAAATTTAATGCATATTTCCTAGAATATACATACTTATAGACCCCTAGAATCTCATATTACAGTATGTGTTTTTACTTTATTTTTTTGATAAGATAACTTTTATTCAGTTTTATAATAGTTGGATGGAACAAAAACCTGTTTTGAGATATTTTAGTTTATGTATGTCGATATCAGAAATAAGACAGATAAAAGAATGAGCAGAAAAACAATGTCATAATTATGTGACTTGGCCCCAAAATCCTCAATTATAATTTAAACTTTTTGACATGCAAATGTGATAAAAATTGATACTTTGTATAGGATGTTTATTCATTACACAAGAATGGTATCACAAGGAGACTGACCTACATACAGTAGTCAATTGTAACGTGACAATCCAAGGACGCCATTGAAAGTCATCTGCCAAGTTTTGACTCGCGATTGTAAAAAAGAAATTTTGAAAATTTACATTGGTACACTGTAGTATTTTTTTTTCCAAGAGCCCTCAAAGCAATTTATTTATAATGTATCAGTTTGTCACTCTAACCCACTTCAGAAATAGAGGGACAATTATGGAGAACTATCACCTGTTATGGGATTTTGTTGAGGTAAATACTGATTGAGACGAAGTCGAGGTCAGTACAAACTTTCAGATCCATGTACAGAAATAAAAGTTAATAATCGTTATATTGGATATAAAATTATGCTTTTTTTCTCATTAAACAAGATTAAAAGGAAGATAAAAGTTAAAAGAAAAGTGCTGCGTTTGGCAAAGAGTGTTGTGAAATTACAATAGAAGTGACGTCATGAAGAGAATATTGACCTGCTGTCAATATCACAAATCATTGACCTCCCCTGTGATTATGATCTGACCAATGAGAAAGTAGGAAAAGGTTGTGTCACTTACTGACGCCCTGTATGTCGGGTCCGTGACAAGCTAATGTCCATAATTATTTAAATGTTATAACAGCCAGACCATGATAATTACGATCAATATGAATCTCAGATAATTTACATAGTTTAAATATGGATGGAATATATGCTATATCATTATGTAAAAAGAGCATCCGTTGTGTGAACACTTCCTTTTGAAATTTTCATCCTCCTATTATTCAGTGCTCTTTAAATTATGATCACAAAACTAGATAATATGTATAAATGTATTGAAAGAGACAATAACCTGTGTCTAGGAAATAAAACGGTATCAAAATAGGTTTTTGCCAGGCGTACGAGAAGACAGTAATATGTCAGAAGATTTAAATAAATGTTAAAATGCTGAATGTCATTTCTGGTACTCTTAACGAGGAAATTTCACATTATGGAAATGCTAACACTTACAGAGAAAATTGATGCAAAAATATCTACACATGAAAATATATTTATGATTTATATACATAACATATTGTATATATGAGAATACATGTATGATATAGATTTCAAAACCATTGTCGATATGAAACTTACACACCATGCTCAGTTTTTAGAGTCACAACTGAACATTTCCACATGCGAGAATTTCCATTGTTACAGAATAACCTGTTTCCTAGAAACATTTGTTTTCTCTCTGTATGTCCTTTATAGTTGAGTTTGTTTTATATCATGTTATTTCACCTGAACTCCTGTTATTATCATTTTATTGCCGTTGGTCCAATATACATGTAAAACATACATGAACAAGCTCAATCAAAACCACTTTATGAAAACAATGTCGCCTTTACTTAAAATGACCATAATATTCCGTAAATTTTAACCTTAATTCCTTAGAGTAAAATGAAGGACCATGCACAAATCTGCTCAATGGAGTAGTATCTTCATTATATTATGACAAAGTGTAATTTATATGTATCATTTAAAGTGTGATTTCTTAAACGGTTAACATTCATGTTTTTGTTACTCAAACTTTATTGGTTCTATTAGTGGATTTTTTTTTTTATAAAGTAAAAGATTTTCCTTTTATTATCACATTTCTCTTAATATCATGCTTTGCTCTACAAATGACAATAAGAGAAATGTAGAGTATTTATATACAACGTGATATTAGTCTGTACACTTTTGTGTAGACCTGCATGATAATGACTTTATTTGTTGATATCGTCCTAGATTGCATCGCTGTCCATTTTCTACAATTGATTGTTTTATAAAAAGGTACAAAAGATTGACAATGAGATCTTTAACTTCGAGAATTGAAGAGCTTACAATGTCTTTTTAAAGCTTTTGAAGCTTTTGAAGCTTTTATCCTCACCAGTAGTTTTGATTTCCTGGTAACAACAAAACGTGATCCTGCAAATATCTACTTGAGGGCAGTTGTTCAAATTGCCATTAGCTTAATTACATGTAGATGTTAAACTAAAATTTTCAATCTCAGATATTTAAAAAAAAAATCAAATTTTCATCCTTACAATGCATTTCGGTATGTAAAATTTTATATGATCATCAAAATTTATATAAAAAAAAACATCAAAAAAGAAAAAAAATCCAATCAAAACAGGTTTCAAAACACGTTTCTTAAACAAAATTATAAATTTTGACAAATTTAAGTTTATAAACCTTTTTTTTTTTAATGGTTAATTAATATAACTTGGAACTACTGGCTTCTGTACTGATGGTTTCAGGTCTTTTTGCCCTAAATCTTGCTGGCCCTTCGGTTGTTCGCACGATAAAGTATGTTTTAGGACGAAATTAGCCTGTTTAGTAGCATATGGTTTATAGTCACATTTAATATCTTCCTTAGACTTCTTTGTTATTAGACCCATACATGGTCAGCTAGATCTCCACACAGCATGCTTGAAGTTCTTCTGGCAACGGAAAGAAAGAAAATTATTAGAGGGAAACAACTCTGGGCAAACTAAATTTAGGCCAGAACAACCAAGTGTGAATAAGATTTAGCATGTAACAACCCTGATTTGTACAGATCAAGTGTTATGAGAGTTGTGCTGTCGTGAGTATGTTTTATATATCTTACATATCATTATAATGTATTATCAGTGTAAAGAAGTATAATTGTACTTAAATTGATATTATTACTTAACTATTGAATTTATGAAAAAATAAATGCCTTTCGTCCACAAGTTAAAAGGGACAGTGAAAAGATTGTGGTATTATTTTTTTTTTTTTTAAAGTTATAAGAAAAAAAGTGATTCATAGATTAGTTGCCAGAGTTGGTGTACACTATATTGAATAAGACCGTCTGTCTGTTGATAATTTGACCCAAGGAAATTTAATCAATATACCATGCTCGATTTGTGGACAGGTAAAGAAACGGCTAGACCATGCAGCCATGCAGTCAATGAGCTTTATTCCTCACTAGTGTTAAAGAGTCTGGACAACTTGAATAACCATATTCATGAAGTAAATTGACAATGTCCAGGTCATGTGACAGCAGGCAAATCCCATTTGAAACTGGCTTATAACAAATCGAGCATGGAAGACTTTTTTTCTCATTTGAGTTAAAAAAGCAATCATTTAACTTCCTCCCAGGGTAATAGCTCATGCAGAGGGGCGAGCAAAAATGCTATATTGCCCTCAGAATATACAATAAGTGCTTTATTTTATTGACTATTTAAAAACCAAGATTACTTAGAAATTCTTTGAAAATTTGTTTAACAGTTCGGAGACATTGGTACAGAAATATTACACACAGCAATATATCATTTACAAGTGTCTTTGTTTAAATTTTTGTTTGATTTACATGCCTATATTATATAGTTGTAAACTTGGTACAGCTATTTGTTACATTTCTATTATAAGTTTACAGGATGTGTATATTATTGACCAATATAAGGTCTCAATTATATCTTAATGAGATTGATAAGCTATATGATGACTGCCGCTATATATATATTTTGTTTGATCATATTGAAAAAAAATTTGCAGGCAATATACAAGAAATCAGATATTTTTTTTAAGAAAATAAAAAATAAAAACATATCTTGACTTATGATTGTTTCTTTCTGAAATGTCTCAGTAGACCTTAGACCGAAAGGTAAGTAAACATACTGCAAGCCTTTGGTTATTTTATATCAATACTACATGAAAATTTTGAAAACTTTTCATTTGTGTAAAATGACCATGACCCCAATGTTCAAAACCTGATTAATGAATCGTTCGATACAAGTTTTTAAAATGCCATTTTTAAGAAATATCTGAAAATTTACAAACTTTTTTTTTTTTTACTTTTGATGATATTTATTTTAGTACCTATTGAGTTTAGGTTTAGTATTGAATTACATTTTTTTTGGTAGTACTACATATGAAAGTGTTGTGTTACCGTATTTATCCTACAGTAACCCCAGGGTCCATTAATCGACACATATTCTCCGACTCGTAGTAGAGAGATGGGTTTATTATAGGACAATGAAACAGCATTTGTTGCCATTTCTACTGAACTGCAATATATACAGGTGGGCTTATTACCGGGCATGGGCTTATTGCCGGATAAATGTGGTAATTTGTCTATACACTATTTAGGCTTTGAACAACAGGGTTCATTTGACAGCATTAGTATGATAGGTACAGAAAATACGATATTTTGGTGCAATATTATCATATGTCCTGAAAGTCAGTTGTCAGCAAAGACAAATTTTGTTGTACTTAAACATTTGTCAAAAAATGTATAATTTCACCAAATGAACAAATTTCTCAATATGACTGATGACCTACATCTGTGTAATTGACTCTTATGCTGCTAAAAAGTTACCGTACATGACAAAAACCACCAAACACATTCAACAAATGCATAAATCTTTTATTATTTCTGGAATGTACATAAATGTTAGAAAAATATATTTATATATAAATCAAATATAGCATTTAAAAAATATAATTAGATATATTTTATTATTACAACGCAAACCCCAACAAGAGATTACAGAGGGATGTTGGCGCCCACCATAGTAAGATCTTCATTGGCCCTATGTAAGTTTGTTATTTTCCTTTTTTACCTGTTGGATCGAGTCATGTCATCGGACAATGCATCTTGCAATTGATGAGAAAAGCTTCTTACTGCTGTTTGACATCGTCTTTCAAAGTGAACTTGTTTGACCTTTTTACTAGCTTATAATTAATGCATAACGAAAGACCGACTGACCACAGACAAAGTGTGATTCGAACAGCCCAGCACCTAGTAGGATGGTGGGCTGAAAATACAAAGAGAAAACAACTTATTATGGAGTATCTATCCTTGGTTCAAAACATTTCACATTAGTTATCAAAGTAAAATGTAAATAATGAAAAATTCTTGTGAGGATTTATTATTAAATTGATCATGCTTCTCGCACCTTTAACCCTGTTTTCTGGTACAAAAAAAATGCATTTCCTCTAGCAATGAAGTCCATTCGTTCTCTCATGCCATAAACCACATAATGATCTACAAACAACTAAATAGAGAGAGTGACATGGGACAAAAATAATAAAAATTAAAGCAGAAAATTGGAACATTTAAAGTCATTTATAAAATTATAAAATATATTTAAAAGTCGCGGCTAAGCACAGTTCACATCAAGTAGCCGACGTAAATATAGTATGGAAATATATCTTCTTTTATATAATTTGGACATATATCTTATTTCTGTCTATATTTTCTATATGTCTTATTCATGAATAATTATCTTCCTTTAATATATCATAAAATATAGAATATTATATCACTTTATATCTTTTACAATCCCATACTTTAACTGGTATAATTGAGGTGTTCTAGCTATTAACTGGTACAATTGAGGTGTTCTAGCTATTAACTGGTACAATTGAGGTGTTCTGGTACAAGTGGGGTGTTCTATTAACTGGTACAAGTGGGGTGTTTTATTTATTATAGAGGAGTTAAATTGATACCAAAATTTATCATTTATCACAAAAAGGCTTCGGAGCATTGAATGCATGCAATAACATAATTATAAATAATTGTATGGACTTCTGATGAGGTTGATATGTTGTAACATGACCCTGAAAGCTTCCTATCCGACCTAGGACATCTTTCAGCAGAGGTTATAACCAGTAAGAGACTGAAAGGCTAAGATTATATACATCTTAAAATGTCAATTTGATATTAAATTAGTATTACACATGTGTAAGAAATCTGATATGACACAAAAGATTAAATGTTTACAAAAAAGACTTAAATGTTGGTTAAATTATTGACTTTTTTGCAAAAAATATCAGCGGGGATTTGAACTCTCAAGAAAGTGCAACCAATAATTATATTTGAATTTGCAATGAACTCATCTCCTGAAAAATAGAACATCTTGCAAAACTTAAGCGATTTTAACAATAATTTGATGGTTTATCTAAACTCTCATGTTACAAACAGATCTGTAAAATAAAATAAAATTGTATTACAAAATTTTCTACAAAAATATGATCATTTCATTCACCAGATCAGTCGCGTTCTCTCCTCCTTGTGATAGCTGCCTTTACAAGAGATTGATCCGTACGATATTGGAACTGAACTTCTGTCAATGATCAATGTTCAAATTGATTCTAATTACATTGTGTATCGTGAAGTGTATGTCACAGAGATTACTACATGTATACAGGGAAACATTGGCCAGGTCAAAAATTCATCCTTTGCCGATAAAATCCATCTTCTCCCAGTGTAACTTTCACTGTTCTATTACTGTAGTAGGACGAGGAAAAGTGATAAAGATAGTGCTGTCACTGGTGCTCGAGCCCAGGACCCTTGGCTCCCCAGCCCGGTGCTCTACCACTGAGCTAAAGGGAAATTCACTACAGCTGACGCTTGTAAGGCAGCCTAACCAATGCACATCTTTTACACTGCTATATAATTTAGGTTGTGGACTATTTTTCACTGTCAGGATAAATTTGCTCTCGTGTGGGAAAAAATGGTGGAAGTAAAATTGTCACAAAAAATTCCTTGTATACAGTAGTTCGACACATTTTGCCCTCTGTAATGAAAGCAAATTCATCACAAGTTAGGATGATCGAGTTATGGATGAGTTATCTCCCCACGTACCTGAACAGCACTATATATATATATATATATATGTAATATCTGTAGGATCCTTGATCTTGGTTCAAATTAACTAGTGTTTGTACTTGTTAATAGTAACAGTAGAAGGCTTTTTTGTTGCATCTTCGAAATCCAAGAATTCTGCTCTCGATGGTGGGGTCAACTTATTTACTGATGTATCAAGCTCTGTAATCAATTAAAACTGACCGTAATCACAGGCTTCAAAGTTCTGACCAATTTTCTGTAGATGGTCAGCTTTCCACTCCATTAACAGGTGACTGACCACAGTTTTGAAGCCTGCCATTATGGTCAGTTTTAGTGGACAACAAAAGCTGCTGCATTATAATTCAAAGTTAGTCTATATGCCCACATATGTGTCGGCACTGATTTTAGTACATGTAACATAGGTGAAAATTTCCACCTAACAGTTAATAATTATCTGCAAAACCTACAACAATGTGGGATTAACAATTAAATATCTTCACTGTGAAAAGGTGTCGTTTTTCCAGCTTCTGACTTGCCCTATAGTTCACATCGTCAATGTTTTTTTCCAGCTTCTGACTTGCCCTATAGTTCACATCGTCAATGTTTTTTTCCAGCTTCTGACTTGTCCTATACTTCACATCGTCAATGTTTTTTTCCAGCTTCTGACTTGCCCTATAGTTCACATCGTCAATGTTTTTTCCCCCACCCTTTTATGTAAATCAAGTGTCTGCATAAAAAGCTTTTATCGTTTTGTCGTACATCTTCACAACGATTGGTCGTCTCAGCTTCAGGGTGGGGCCTACAAAATACATGTGACAAATTAGTCAGTGTTGATAATTATTGAAAAATGTAAATACAATATAGACGTTAAAAGCATTTAAATGTAAAGTTCACAAATAAATCTCCATTTTTTTTCCCCACAAGATTTTTATTTATTTTTAATTTGAAAAACCAGGTCAATAGATCTTAATTTTTAAACCTGAACTCTATACACAAAAGCCTTACCTAACTCGCCACCTGGGATTGAGAAGTCACGAGGTAATATTGACCATTTCTGTACTTTCGTTGCACGGGAAACTGCCCGATTGTTGGCCTTGTCTATCCCCGTCTGTATGGCCTTGAAGAGCTGAGGATTTCGTTGTTCCAGGACCTCAGACAGTGTTGTGTAATTACAGTCGAAGGATTTACACCAATCTTGTACCTCAGGGGTCAGCTGGTCCGTTGGTTCTCCAGTCTCTATGTCCACCTCAACCTACAATATGGATGAGAATGTCATTAAGTATTAAACTCACCTTATTTGACATGTGAACTCTGTCCTTTGAGCGTTAAAATCAACCAGGCATGATGTATATATATTTAACTAGGGGTAATTACATTTTTAATGGCCCATCAACACAGAAGAGGTCATTAGGGTCAATAAAAGGTTATTAAAGCATTTTATAGAAAATTACTTCAAACAAATGAAAAAGTAAAAGACAAACATCAACTTGAAAACTAAAAGTGGCTGTGGTTGGCTGTATCTAGTGAAACAGACCAACAGTTTTCAGTTATTCTAGAATTGTAGATAATAGAAATTTTCTGGTGTGAGCTGAATATCTTAACACAATCTAATAACAGAAATAGTATACAACATATTCTCAAGTGATGTGGCACTTGTGTATTAAACTTTCTGCAAGACGCTACGACTAGGAGAATGGAGTTCTGTGGGGCATTGCTCAGCAATTTAGATTTTACTTGGTCTAGGCGAGATGATCTTGCTTATGTTGAATGACATGAAGACATGGGCGACAGTATAGAAGAAGGAATGAAGTATTTTCAGTAACACAAAAAGATTTCAGTACATGTACAAGAATTAATACCTTCAATGTGATCAACATGCTGAGGAACTTCATTTTGTCCCCGATTAGCATGCAGTTAGAAACCACCGGCAGTTCCTCCTTCACGTTGTCCTCAACAGGGACTGGAGCTATATTCTCCCCACCTGCTGTAATCAGTAATTCTGGAAAAAAAGTTGTTAAATGATTTAAGCAATATTAAACTACTCGGTAACTGCCATAATCAGTCTGAACAAAATTCAAATATTTCTGTTATCTTATCCTGAAAACAATTTCAATGGTTTAGGTATATTAAGATTGAAACATTTACATTTGTAAGTAAGAGAAACTGACAAACTTGCAAAGATTTTTTTATTTTTTTTTACCCGTATGATGGCCTTTGACCTGGTCATGCTCTCAAAGTTGACACCTCAACGTAAAACATTTGGCAAAATGCACATATGGTAGCAGCTAGTCTTAAACTCACAACTTCTTACACTTACAAAAATTATCATTTGAATTTTTAACAAGGTCAGTTATTTAAGGAAGCTTCATAATACTCTAGGGTACACATATAGCTACTGGTCAAATATCATGACACTAGGTCCTTCAGTTCTGGGGAAGAAGCCTTTGGGGGAAAAGCTCATAGGCCATTGTGTATCAGGAAAATTAAAATACATGATGATATTTTACCTTTTATTCTGCCCGTGATGTACAGAAAACCGTTGTCATCTTTTTTACCAATGTCACCCGAGCGAAGCCAGCCCTCGTCATCAATGGCTTCTTTTGTCTTCTCATCGTTATTGAGGTAGCCCATGAATAAGTTGCGACCCCACATACATACCTACAGGTAACACATCACAGGTAAGTTAAATATGTAGCACTGGTCACATGACATGCACTAAAAGTTCTTGTAAATTGTGAGTGTGTCTGACTTTCTGATAAAATTGAATTTGGTTTTAATAATACACTTAGTATTATGTATCTTCATATGTTCACATTGCACATTACTAGGAACACAACTCACAGTTTATTTTAGATGTGCAAAGTTAGAGCTTGTGTCTTTAGAAATTTCTTAATTAATTAACTTTAATCATGGGAGAAAAATACAACTTCACAAAGTGTAAGTGGATTAAAATATATCCTCATCTTAAGACGAAAATTCTTGTTAATTTTAAAGTTGACTTACCTCCCCACTGCCGTCCCTCTCTGGTGTTTCTGTCTCCGCCAACTTGGTGGTGACCCCTGGAATTTCACACCCAACACTCCCAATTTTAAACTTTTCTGGCGTCTCCGAAGTGTGAGGACCTTTAAATTAAAACGACAAAAACTTGAGTTAAAAATAACGAAAGAAAAATGACTTGCATGAATAAATTAAAATCCTAATCAATGTCCTCATCAGTACCGAAAAGTCAATTTTTAAACTTTTAATGTGCACAATATCAAACAAATATACAGTACAGGAAAGGTGATATTGAAAACAGAATCACTTTTATATAGGGCTTAAGAACCTCTGTCTCACTGCACTGTGGTTCTAAGTAAACTTCCCTTAATTAGGATTTGGATATAACAGTAGCACAGTTGGGACAGAACACTGCCTTAAACTTTTCATGTATCTCAGAGGAAAAGTATAACAATCTGGAGTCCTGGGTTCGAATCCCAGTCTAGCTCCACTGAATTTTTACATGCAGAACACTGTTGTTGATTATCTTTTTTTTTTTTCATCTTTTATTCTTTTTTTTATAAAAGTCCAGCAAGGTATACTAATAATATAAATACTTTTCTTTTCAGAAATGATTAATCAAAGCTACGGCTGTTTCCAATGCGTAGTTAGAGTTTTTGGAAGATTTTTTAAAGTTTATTTTGGTGAAATAAAATGTCTAAATACCATACCTCCACATTCACTCATGCCATAGACAGAAATGATGTTGATATTGAAACAGTAGAAGTATTCTATGGTTTCCTTGGTAATAGGGGCAGCTCCGGTGACATGAAGATGACAGCGGTCCAGACCGAGGCTCTTTTTAACCTTGTTGAACAGAAAAGCCTGCGCAACAGTCCAGCCTCTAGGCTTGTGTTCACTGGCAAGTAAAAATACAAAATTATGTTGACCTCTCAAATTTTCTAATTTGTTTGTTAAATTTTCAATTTGGAAAAAACACAATAACACACTGTGTCAAGTATGTAATGTTACGTATCTTCAGTCATTCAAGAAGTTCAAAATGGTTAACACTGCATTTTTGTGTAGTATCTAGGTACATAATTAGATACACTGTATTACTTGAGAATAAAATATTTTTCAATGACAATTAATGTTAGCATGTGAGAAATTAACACTCTGCATTAAACCTGTCTGACCCAAACTTTTTTGCTAACTTATATTTTTCAGACTTTTCAAACTGAAATGAAAATGAGACAAATATTTCAGATGTTTGAATGCTAGCTTCATAGATTCCATGTCCAAAGTTACACAAATTATGTATTTATTCCAAATGTTGAAAACCAACCACAGTTAAAGCATGTACAGCCAAAATTGAAACAAGGAGCAACTAGCAACCAAAAACTATGCAGATTTCAAATTTGAAATGTGCTTATTAACATGCAGTTCACTAGGGTCTGTTTTGTAAAGGAACCACCTCTATCTAGTTCAACTGGTCAATTCACATGGACTGGGTATTACAACACATTAACAATAAACAGAGTGACCAGAATAATTTCAAATGAGAATTTTACTCTCTTTAAAATTTTCATTTTAGGTAAGCATGATATAAATTATAAGTTGTGGGTGTTTAATTCCTAATACGACACTGTGTCCATGGAATGAAAACTTCTACCAATACCTGTATTTGAGAGGGAGAATAATATATTGTTCTTGGCCGAACTACTCTTTTGATATTTTGTTCTTACTGTCTCATTGAGGCGTAGACTCCTTTCAATCCGATCTTTTTGGCCTTGACACCAATCGTCCTTTTTATTCCAGTGACAGATCTAGCAGCTTCCTGCATCTTCTCGGCGAATTTCTCCCAGACCCTCGGGACTCCCAGGAACATGGTGGGACGACACTCAACCAGTGTGTTCTTCAGAGTCCCCTACAGACACACATATATACATTAGATTTATAGCAAAATATGTAACATAAAACACCTACGTATCCTACAGGCAGCATAGCTGAAGCCTTGCTCAACTGATTGGGTGGCAAATTGAAATTGGGATCCGGGGGTGAAGGCCAGAGAGAGGGGTCTGGGAAACAAAGCCTCTAACCTCTTCCTTTCCCCCTTGTTGCAGGCTACAGCTATGGTCGGCATGCATTATATAAATCTTCTCATCAATACTTGGTAAATTCAAGAGGAATAACTCCTGCAGACTTCTGGTATTTGATTAAATGTTCATATTTTGCGACTTTATCGTCTGTTGACTTCAGCGAAAATTAGATAAAAAAAATATCTGATATATGGTGTTTAGGAAACATTTAATAAAAGTTGAATTGGTAGATTCTACATTCCTAAAAATAAGTGTAAAAGAACAAGCAGAAAACTTTATTTTAGAGCATAAGGGTACATTCGCGTCTCCGGTTGAAACGGTTGAACCTGTAAAGAAAACGACAGGTACAGATCTGGACCGAGGCTGACCTCAGGAAAATTTGGTACGTGTAGATTGACGGGTCCAGACGTACCTGACCGAAACTAAAATGCTGACTATTGCCAATTTGTGTTTTTTCTTTCTTAAACAATGTCAAGACACATGTAGTTTTTAAGACACGTGATGTAATTCAGTGGACGCGTAAAAGAAGGGCATAATATTCTAGATACATTGTTTTTTATTCTCCGAAACTGTGCAATTTTAGCTCTGCTTATAGAACGGTCCAAGTACGTTCGTTTATCGTGGAAAATTTCTGCGCCACACGTACCGTTCAACCGGGCTACGCGAATGTAGCCCTAGTATGTGCTTTCTTTTATAGACAATTTTTCCCAAATTCAATGAAGGTGGTATTACTCCCTATGTATACTCTTTGCAGTGCACAAAACCAGTGAGCTCTGCAACTTTTCCCATATAATTTTGGCACATTTGAACAGTAAAGACTGAATATTTCAGCATGATTTTACCCAAGAACAGCATCTCAGAGTACTAACTACTACATAGCAATTTCTCGGTATATTTTTCCAATCTCGGTATAAACTAATCCATTTCAAACGTAACGTCAAAGATACTGAAAGTATGGACGAAGTTAGACTACTGTCATAGAGTTATTCCTCTGATTTTATCGTGTCATATAACTTTTAACTTGCAACTTTTTGTAATGGTAAAATAAACAATGCAATCTGGAGTAAGTACACACAATTTTGGCGGTTTATTGTGGGGATTATATTTCAAAATATTTCTGAAATCCACAAGAAATTTATGATAAATGGTTGCGACCCAGGACTGTTTTTGGATTGTTCCTGTGTAGTGTGCATCCATTCCTGACATAATCACCCCNCCCCCCAAAAAAAAGTGTGCCCTATATGCGAATCTTGACAGTAACTAGACAAAGGAATAGATTTGAATATAAAAGTTTCCGTTATTTATGTTTACTGTACCTTCAGAGCATCTGGCTGTGCAAAATAGACCATAGCACCAATGAAATAGGGCATGTGGATATCCATCATCAGACCCGCACTGTGGCTCAGGGGCAGATAACTCACAATCACTTCCTCTCCGATTTTTAGTTTGTAAACGGCCATTCCGTTCACGCACAAGAATGTCAGCTATAAAAGAAGAATCTCGATATTCAAAACTTAGATAATTTGAAAAAGGCATAAATTAAGATAAATGCACAATAGTATACATAAAATATGTTACTATACAAACTTGTGACCTTGACCTTTGACCTAAGTTGTTCAATGCCTGATAAGGTTAAAGAGACGTTAAAGAGAATAATTTTATAGACTTCCCAAAGCTGTTCGCTGAAAACAAGTTCGCCAAAACAAATTTCCATATGGACATATTGTAGATACACTGTATATAAAATGGTATATATTATGCAAACTTAAACAGTCCCTGTTATTCTCTTAAAGTAATATCATCAACTTTTGATTACTTACACTGTCATGACTTTGCATGACTCCCTTGGGGTTTCCTGTGGTCCCTGACTGTTAAAAAACACACAAAAAACACATAATTATTTCCAAAATATTATGTATGTTTAAGTTTTCTAAATGATATCAGATTTATTATGCCAACAATATTCTTCTAAATATGTTCTGGTGTTTTTTTTTGTAAAACAACATATATCTCAAACACACCTCAGAGAGAAGTTAACACAATATTTTTGGCTTTAGATGTAGCTTTTTGACAATTAAGCACATATACGATTTTAGAAGGATTTTCCCGGTATAAGAATCCAAACGTTTAACACAAATTGCATAAAGGCTAAATTTCCATTAAAGGTAAAAACTGTGACCCTGGGGGTCAAACTGTTAACTATATTATCATATATTATCAGAGACGTATAAATTACATGTAATATATACGTCTCTGATATTACTAAGGCTTCACTTACCGTGTATATCAATGTACAACAATGGTTTGGTGCCAAGTTACTGAGGCGTTCATTTACGACTGAGTTGGGTACGTCATTGGATAACTTCATAAACTCATCCCACTGAAAAAACCAGTCATTAAACTATTACACCATGTCCAGTGATAAGCAAGCCCTTTTGTTAAGTAGAATTTATAGACAGAAATTAGTAAACCTTTCTATACTTTATATTCAGCCAATCTTGCAGTTTCTGTAATATATTACCCCTTTTTAAATATAAGGACACTACCTGGCCCAATGGGATTTTCACATATGCCATATCCAATATGACTATACATGGGAAAGAAAACTTTGTTGCAAATCATCCGCTTTTTGGAGATAAGTAGGTATGATCAAGGTGAATATCAATTTTTTCACAAGTGGCTATACCTAATAATCCCATAATTCTTAATCTTTTTGTTTTTGTTTCATAATCTCCTTAAAAATGTTTTGACTTCAACTTTTTGTCACTTTCATAGTGTATATTTACATATTGAAATTGAAATTATAGTAGAAGTAGTAGTAATGTTTTCAAAAAAAATGCTATTTACTCTAGAATCAAACTTTGGACATGAAGTAGTTTCAGCCAGATCAAGAGATATCTAGAAATTCATGCTGCCAATTAATTAAGACTTTTCAGAAACAGTTTTCTTTGAAACAGTATCTATGTTGTCTAGAAGACCCAGAACTGTTAGTTCATCTAATGCTTATTGAAAGTACAAATGTAGTAGCTGAGGTAACCCACACACATCTTCCAGACCAAAACAATTCAATGATTTAATGAAATACAATATGATAAGGTAAGGTTGGCATGCCTACTAAGGTTCTTATATTGCTTACCGTGTATATGTTTTCCTTGCGGACGGCCACCTCCCCTGTATATTGTATAATGGCCTTCAGGTGAGGAAGCTTATCCCAAACCGCTAGGATTTTCTGCAGCTGTGCATTGTTTTCCACCACAACTATGTTACTTTCCGAATCCTCCAGCACGTACTGACAAGCTTCTGCAGTGTTCGTGGCATAAATACCGGTACCCAAACCACTGAGAATCAAAAAATTATATTTGTGTTCAGTAAAACATTTGAATTCCGCAGTTCTCTCCGTGTATAGATAAAATCATTTATAAAAGACTACAAGTAATTTAACTAATGATACCAAACTATTGTGTATGGAAAATAAATTTGTTCAAGAAAAAATATCATCTTCCATGGCCCACTATCAGTAACAGTTAAAGATTTCATTGCATAAATAAAATCATTTAAGAAAGATTACAAGAAATTTAAATAACGGTACCAAACTATTGTAAATGGAAAATAAATTTGTTGAAGAAAATGTTGAATTTCTCTGCTCCCACTATCAGTAAAAGTGAAAAGATCTTGTATAAATGAAATAAATTATGAAATATTACAAGACAGCTACAAATTTGTCCTACCCAGCGTATATGCTTGCCAAGTAGGATATGTGCCATTCTGGAGCATTGAATCCCAGGATCCCAACACCATGGAAAGGCTGCAGACCAAGCTGTAAGTCAAAAGGGTAATAATTAGTGTCAATTAGGAACCTTCAACGAGGACAATATAATGATTCATTAACCCTGATAAAAGTACATCCTTACATGAATAACCTCATTACTGGACCATGAAAAAACCTGAAAGGTTTGTATGTGTTTAATTTATTCTGTAAATTGCAGGGATTTCTTGTTCTTTTTATCTGATTTTGTATTAACTGGTACATTTACTGAATTTATGGAAGTTCTTGCAAATAAACTTGCCTTGTCACTAACTATATTCAGTAATCTTTTTGATTTGCTAATTTTTGTAAAGTCTACAGTACCTTGATGAATGATTTGGCTGCCCGTTGTACATCTGTGTAGTACTGCTGGTATGTCCATTTCTTCCACTGTCCATCTCGCTTAACACCTGAAAAGATTGGCCGAATTTCATATGTAAGTATAGTACTCCGAGTCCCCCCGTACTGTATATATCTTCCAATAAGCCCGGGGTGACACTACAATATTTCCTGACCCAAAACAGGAAGGTAGTCTTATTATATGTCATGAAACAGCATTTATTGTCATTTCTACTGAACTGCAATATATTCCGTCTTTTCGTATTGCAGAGTTATCTGCACTTGTGAGCAGGTATTGATTGTTACATCATTTGTTTGTGAGAGTAATGTCATATATTTTTGAAAAAACAACGTAATTTTCTCACACAAACCAATGATGTAACAATCAATACCTGCTCACAAGAGAAGATAACTCTGCAATATGCAAAGACGAAATAAGGGTGGGCTTATTACCAGGCATGGGCTAAGTGCTGGATAATCTGGTACTGTTCAGTTTAAGGCCAAATACAAATGAATGTTCCCTTTTTGTATCTCTATTCTGTGATTTTTTTAACAGCAACAAAGTGTTATTTATTGATTTGAACAAAACTTATTCTGTACTATTCCTTTTTCAAATTAAAAATATAACTTGGGTACCTACACGCTAGTTTAAAAAAAAAACATTACTACAAATATATTGTTCATTAGCCTCAGAATACATCTCTTCAGTGCAAAGAGGTATTTCTTATATCATAATAATGTGATACATTTTACAACCGAAAAATAAAAAATGAATTTGAAGGAGCAATAAAGAGCACTCTGATGCAATACAATCACCTGAATTTTTAACTTATTTAATACAATTCCTATTAGCTAAATGAATGTAATTTATTATCTTCAAAATCATTTGACCCATCCACCAAACAAACATATAGCAGAAAAACATGATAAACAGATTGAACAGTTGGGGTGTTTCAAGTTTTCAATGAAAATATGTGATAGGTTTTCAGTCTGAGCATTATAAAGAGACTGAGAGGGACGTGTTGTTGTAGGACACCTCAATCACATCTGATCTAATCTGTGATCATTTCGACATTTAGCAATTAAGTCTTTCCTGTCGCAGAGTCACCTACCAAGGGCAGGCTGGTTGGGCATCTTTTGGACAGTCCGTTCAAAGGCTGTCGGGACTGTAATTGGTGGGAATGTATCTGGGCCTTTCCCAGTCCCCATCCTCAGCTTGACTGGCTCGGACCTGTCGGTCGTCCATAACTTGGTGGCAGGCACCGGGGTGTCTCGCTCTAAATCAACATCCAAGTCAAAGATACATATTAGTACTTAAGGATCCCTGTCCGACTGCAGACAAAATAATACAGAATTCCACAGTAGCTTTTCACACATGGAGTAACATCCCCTTAAATTCGTTTTAGCTATAAATGAAGTGCGGCTATCCCAACGCGCTACTATTGACAAGGTAGCTCACTGAGTTAGACCCACAATATAATGAACGAAGGACTGGTCTGGCCCATTACATTTTTACTGTTGTTTACTCTATTTTGCTTATTTTATCTTTATTCCTTTTTTTTCATAAAAGTTTTGCAAGGTATGGTTTCAGAAATTTTCAATTATATCTACTGTTAAGTCAGTTATATCTACTGTTAAATCAATTATATCTACCGTTAAGTCAGTTTTATCTACTGTTAAGTCAGTTGTATCTACTGTTTAGTCAGTTATATCTACTGTTTAGTCATTTATATCTACTGTTAAGTAAGTTATATCTACTGTTTAGTCAGTTACATCTACTATTAAGTCAGTTATATCTACTGTTTAGTCAGTTATATCTACTGTTAAGTAAGTTATATCTACTGGTAAGTCAGTTATATCTACTGGTAAGTCAGTTATATCTACTAGTAAGTCAGTTATATCTACTGTTAAGTCAGTAATATCTACTGTTAAGTCAGTTATATCTACTGTTAATACATAGGTACAGTTTTTGGCAGTGGTACTGGAATTGTTAAGTGAAAGATGATGATAGAAATAAATTGTTAAATTTCCACAGTGACCTGCCCCTTCTTAAGAACAAATACTTCATGAATTAAGTTGACAGCAACCACGACCATAACATAGAGCATAACAAAATCCACATGTACAGTTTAAAGTGACCTCTTATTACAGTGTTAAATAGTCACACTATCAAACCAGTGGTTTTTGAGGGACTAACGGGCATTTTTTATACAAAAACTTGTTGTTTTTTTACAAAATTGAGATGCTAACCCTTTATAAAACCAAAACCTGTTATCCCGCTGTCTAGCAATTAAACCACTTATGCTTATAACATTACAAAATCAGTTGAAATATCGAGGATTTACTGACAGGTATAGTTGATACAGTGTACATTCAAACCTGCTCATGAGACCACCTCTATTAACAGACCACCTGTGTTAAGAGGCCACATTTTGGACTTACCATAAGTTGTGTCTAATATAGGTTTGACTGTATCAATTTTTTACCACTATTATAGTTTAAAGAGCTATGAAAGTGTACACAATATATAAACTATTCAGTGCTGGGATTATTTGCCTTAGAAAAAAATAATCCTTACTGAAGAAACTTCAAACACATTCCACAAAATGTATAACCACCGGTTCATGAATCACTCACTGACCTCTATGTTGTGATGTTGTGCCGTTCTGAGGTGGCACTGTCTTCTGTGGTAACTCTCCCGCCTCAGGCCTTAGTAACAAAACAAAATGATGAAATTAGTTATCAATGGCACATCACAGGTATCCTATAGCTAGCATGCCCATTAAGTTTATTAAAACAGCAATGGAAGTTATGGTAATTAAAATTACTTTCACAATTTTTTTCTTCTGTAATAAATAATTCAGGAATTTGTACTGCATTAGATGTCAACAAATTCTGTATCATTTACCTGGCCAGTCATTTTTTATTTACCAGTCTATGGCACTGCCGCTTCCAAATTCAGATGGCATTCATATCAGCTATGAATGTCATGGACCACTTGTTGATGTCATTATTATGATGTCAAATTTTTAATATTGGATACTATAGATCCTTTGTTCCAGTCCTTCAGCAGGTATATATGCCAACATATATTGTACACTTATCTGATTATTTGATCTGAATGCGCAATTTGGATGAATAAATTTGATATTCTACAAAATTAAAATAAGCAGTTCAATACAAATGTACTTAAAATGACAGAAAACAGGTTTACAGTATGTATTTTGAATTCATTTTTGGATCTCAGCCAGATAATTAAGTCACCCAAAGGAAGCTGGGGACTTAATTGATTTTGCTGCAATTCTTATTATAATTATTCTTTCTCGTGATAAATGTATGGGTGTACGCCAAGGTGATTCCAATGGTCCCTCTCTTTTTCTGATTTTGCTCCAATACATAAGGGTATTGTGGCAATGTAATGTATATTGTTAACAGGAAAAAAGGACCTTGAAAAATAATGCCACTAAGCAAGGTGGGAGATGGAGAAAAGGGGCAGAATAATGAGAGGATGATATAATTTGGAATATATCAAAATTTGCTGTAAAAATTTAGACCATGCAAAAACTATCATACACATATTATAACTATTTGTCTTACCTTACGGAAATCTCCATCTTCCGGAGAATTTATTTTCCTTGTACAATTATCAGCAAAAAGGGTCTGAAAAATATAAGATTTTGTTCTTGTTAACAGCGCATTTAATTTTGTTTTATCTGTTGAAATTGGTACTAAACTTACATGTATTGAACAACCATAACGTGCCGAAGATACCTTTTTAACAGCTTTTATAATAATTTTATTTTAATTCAAACTCAAACATAAAATTTGATGCAGACAATTGATACTGTCATGAAGGTCTGCCTGAAATAAACAGCAGGTTTGGTTATATGCTATAGAATATTACACAAACATGGGACATACAATAAATGAGTAAAACAACTAAATATTTTATATCTTACTTCTTTAAAGTTGAACAAAGGAATTGTCAAAATCCATTGTCTGCTATTTTAACGCGCCAATAATTCAACAGGACACTTGAGCCAAGGAGTGGATATTTAATGTCCGATAAACAAACGTCTTCCAAGGTCGGAGTTAAAGCATATCTACAAGGTCAGTGTATAACAGGTCAGCCAGGTAAGTTCAAAACAAAGTCAATGAACTCTACACTATCTGTGACTGATGTTAGCAGGTAGGCTTCAACTTACAGAGGGTCCAGTGGGCCTGTACTTCACCTTCGCCTTACAAAGGGTCTAATGTGCGTGTATTACACCTTCGCCTTACAAAGGGTCTAATGGGCCTGTGTTACACCTTCAACTTACAGAGGGTCTAGTGGGCCTGTACTTCACCTTACAAAGGGTCTAATGGGCCTGTGGTTTTATGTTATTTTTGGCATGAAACAATTTTGCTATTTGGAATCCTTCCCCACTTCATTTTGACCACAAACTAGGAATTGTATTTTCCCTGTGATAATACATAGTAAGACTGAAAATGCCTATATTTTTTAAATGACACCCAAAAACTCTTATTGACCAATTAAGTAAGTTGTTGCAAGATAAATTCTTTTATAAGAACTAGGCCCAGCCTGGTTAACTTAGCGTTATTAATGCAAATTTTCAAAATGTGATTTTTGAGAATTATCTTAAAATATACAAATATTTCTATTTTTTTTTGGTTTCTTCTAGCTCCTGATTTTGAAACCCCATACGTATAATTTTAGTTTCAAATTTCAATGCTTGTAACATAAACTTGTAACTATATGAAAAATCTACATCAAAGTTTTGCAGTTAGTAACATTAAAGCTAACCATGCTTTGAAAATCTGAGCCCAGCTGTATATCTTGTTTTCTCACTTGACAGGGAAACAACATGACACTGTTTTGATGCCAAAAAAAATACCCTGGGGGTTTGGTCACTAGATGTAGTACAATACACACATGTAATGCAAAACTAATGTACAACATTATATCCCTGTTATCATAGAACCATTGTGGTGTTTTTATTAGCATACTCTAAAAAATGACAATGCAAGGTAAGAACTACAAACATATACAATTTCCTGTTATCATGGAGTCACTGACATGTTAACGCTAATGAGTACACTAAAAGCTGACAATGCAAGGTATTAGAACCACTATACAAATAATACAAATATTCTTCATAGGATTTCCTCTAATAAACACATCACCAGCCATAACAAGGTTATTTTGTTGCCGTTATGTTTACACTAATGTCAAGATGATGTAGTAATATGTCAACATGTGTTGTCGACAGATGTTGAAATGAAGTGACATATTCATGTTTGTTTCTTTGTTTGTGTCTTACATCCTATCAACAGCTATGGTCATTTAAGGACGTCCCAGGTTTTGGTGGAAGAGGAAAGCCAGAGTTCCAGGAGAAAAACCAACGTCCTATGGCCAGTACCTAGTGACTGACCCACATAGGTCTCGAACTCACGACCCAGTGGTTGAGGGCTAGTACGTGGTATGTCATCATAATTGTATATTAAGAAAAAAATATCTGATGATTTATATACATTAGAGATATGTGTAGATAAAAATACCCATCTTTTTGTATAAGTATATAGATTAAGTGCCAAACATCTGGACCTGACCACATTTTCCAATTAATTTTTGGTGTTCTTAATCAAATGCTTTCTTCATGCACTGTCTTTCCTGGAAGATGAATTTTCACCCATACATTACTTTCTGTGGTTAACACGTGCACGTCATTTAGCGTCATTTAGCGTATTAATGGACAGGAAGAAAGTCATCAGGAAATGATACAATGTTTAGTCTGTATCACGATATTTAGTCAGAGTATCAAATTTCTAATGAGTTTTTAAAACAAGCTGTAGATATAAACATCTTACAAGGAATGTGTTCCATGTATATCAGTGGCGTAGCAAATCATTTTTACCCATGTATATTCTGTAAATAAACATCAAAGAAATAACTTCAATAAAATTGATGTCATTAATTATGCGTAATACATTTTGTATGTGATTGTTGTATCACAGGTGCCCCGAGGGCTTCTATCTGTCAAAGCTCTTAATTGAATGGAAATAGATTGCATAGTTTAACGTGTTTAACTTAAAAATATTGTATGTACCAGGTACATGAAATGTATCACCTTTGTATGTTATTATTAATAACAATAGTGATTATAGTTATAAGCTGTATATCGATTATAATGCTATTCTATCACATCACTCATAAGATAAAAATGTTTGAATTTCCAGAAAGTGGAGATATCAAATTAGCAACACTCCTTCGTTCCATATCGAAAGTTTTCATTCATTCAGTGAAATCCCTGCCCCTCTGGATATGCATCCTATTCAAAAACAGTTGCAATTGTAACAGCTAAGGTATATGAGGGGAGAAATACTGCCTTCCTGGCAGGCTAGCTTTTCCAGTGATGCGGTATAACCAGGGGACCCGCTCACTAGTTCAGTAACGTCGAGCGCGGTCAGCAGTTGGATGGGTGACCGACCGCATGTTACATTTGGTTGCAGCCTGGTGACTCTGTGATCATATAAGGCCAGTACGTTCCGGGTGGTTAGGGAAGGTGCATTTATACACAGGGAGGGCTTGTGGCATTCCTGGGCCAAGTCCCAGGATAAAACTTCTCGGAGGGGGGAATTGTGTATTAGGTATGGTTTATGAGGGAAAAATACTGCCTGTATTAGGTATGGTTTATGAGGGAAAAATACTGCCTTCCTGGCAGGCTAGCTTTTCCAGTGATGTGGTATAACCCGCGCCGCTCACTAGTTCAGTAACGTCAAGCTTGGTCAGTAGTTGGACTGCCCACGTTACACAATATTGACATCACACCAATCTCATTACATTAATGTATATATACATGTAAATTGTAGCTTTAAAGTTCTTTATAGTACGTGCTCAATGGAAGTTTTTTGTTTACAGCAGTCAGATTTTTGCTAAATTTTGGACCGATCTAAATAAGATGCACTTCTAAAGGAAGAACCGCTTACTAGATTCTATATGGTGATGAAAAAATAGGAAATACCAAAAACAATGTATTGACAATCTCCAGCAAAGCTAAGGAAGTATATATAAATAATATTGAGTAAAACCGATCAGAGATTTTACCCTTTTAGTAATACATTATATACATACATGACTTAAATCCTCTCAGACTGGTAATCTGTCTGGGAGAAGTACATATCGTACCTTTTAAATGAACAATGGCCGACACCCTCTATTGTACATTCCAGTGGATATATGCCAATCAAACTTTGAATGGTGAATAGGTATAGAAAAAGTAACAACTGTTTGCTGTCGACAAGAATAACTCATGCAATCCTAGTTAACATCAGTAAATTTAGGCTGTCGTCAAGAATAATTAATATAGCCCGGTTAGTTTATTAAGGGTAAAAAGTCATTGTTAAATAACCTTGAAAAATTCAAATTATCTATACCCCGACGCCAAGCAGTAGGTATAGGGTACTTAAAGAGTAGCTCATAAAGTATCATTTTTCATAAAAGAATTAAACAAGAAATGTGCCAGTTAAAGACATGAAGTCCCCATTCCCATATACTTAAGGCCTAAAGCAAGGTCACAGAGGCCATGCAAGGTCAAAGGTCAAGGTTGTAAAAAGTCACACAACATGCTCTACATTCCCATAAAGGTGCATATAAACTTTGTGAATTTGCATGACCCTAGCTTCAGTACTTGGTCCAATATACAGACCTAAACACTAAATCTGAACCTTGTCGGATGTACATATGAATGGATGGAAGCATGCATGAACTTTTGGCCTTTTGTGACTGAAATTGTCAATGGGCCCTAAAACAATACAAGCAAAATATATGTACAAGGATAACACTATCAGTATGCCCTGCACCACTTTATGGATACTATTTAAGCAGGAGGTACATTTTATGCATGACACTGGGCTTAAAATCTGTGTGACAACAGTTAGGGATTATGTATGAAGAACCAAGAAATTGCTTGTGATTACTGATAGGCTCATGTGATATAAACATTTATTATAATGCCATTTTTTTTCAATGAAGAATTAAGCCTAAATTGCTTTAGAAATGTATCAGAAAATATAGTGTAGACAATATATATGAAAGATTTCTGAAGGGTGAAGAAAGAGTTTGAAAGGAAAATCAGAAAACTACTTATTTTTAAAAGCAAGATAACAATCATTAACTAAAGAAATCAATATGACACCTAAAGTCAGAAAAACAGAAACAACAGCATCTGCAGTTGTAACACTAAAGTACCATAATAAAGTGCCACATATTCAGGTTGTACTGTATAATAATTTACGACTTTGATATGTTCCATCAGTAACATCCCTCATCATGAGGTCAGAAGGAACAATCAGACAATGTCACTAATATGGAAAAAACAACTCATTATACTGCCATTTTTTCCCTCGAGAAATGTTGGCATTATAAAGAGGATTGGCCTTATAATGAGGGAAACATACAAAACATTCTTAGAAAAAAAAGAGAAAAAGGGACCTTGAAATATGAAGGTGGTAAGTGAGGTGGAATTTTAAATGGAACGAGGGTCATTAAATTGAGGTTAACTTGTATTCCCAAAAGGTAAAATTGTACTTACTTTGATCGAGCACATGAAAAAGGAATCACAATTTTTTTCCCATATTCAATCAGACATTTGTCAAATTCACTGAAGCTTGCATCATAAAAACCCTATGTAATATTCTGAGAAATAACTTGAAATCCTCAATGTATGGGACCCAATTCACACAGGTCTACTTCCTTTCACCAAGATTAGCTTTCCATAACAGCAATGAACTGATATATGCACCCGTCAAACATGTTTTGCTCTCGGCCGAGTTATATTTAGTACAGGTTTGGGATGTCAGGTGTACGTACAATACCAGTGTAATTGCCATCTCTCATTACTGCTTTAAATTACCGGCTGATGTCCTTCACAGCAAGCAAATTCACTGTGCTAATACTTCCCTCTGTGAACTTACAGGGTATGTCTGGAAAAGTCAACCAGTAAGATCTGCTAAAGAGCTGAACATTTTTAATTACGTAACAGGATGAGGGAAGTGTGAGGTACTGCTTCCTCCCCAGACCGAACCAGTGAACCCTATAGCTAGCTAGTAGGCCAAAGCTAACAGGCGACTATGATCCTTACGTATTAAACAAAACCAGACAAATGATTATGTATCCTTCTTTTACATGTGTTCACCCCTAAAAACTACTTCAACCCATGAGGTTTTGTAACCCTTTCACTCCTATGACCTTAAAAGTAGCTACAAGGTTTTTATCAAATATCATGCCTCTATGCCTTTTGGTTCTTCAGAAGAAGTTGTTGGAAACAGTTGACAAAAGGGGATGGGAGGGGAAGGAGATGCTATCACTGACCTTGGCACTTTGCACACAGTGCTACATGAGTCAGATGGAGAGTGGTCAAGGACCAATCAATGTGGTGGTCAGCACTACACTGACCAATCAAGTTGCACATGTAGCAGGCGGGAATGGGGCTCAGCATGGGGCTCAGCGTCCCTCCCTGGACAAAGGTATCACTTTATAGCGGCGAGGCGTAGCAAGCAGGCGTGTTTTGCGAGCTAGCTATATTCTGTCATATAGAGTGAAGAATAATTTTGGCCCACCCAGCCATCTCCCCCTATTATTTTGTGTGATGTGTAGCATATAGATAACAGTAGAGTAGTATATGTGTAGATCCAGTTATTACACATGGCAATGATGTGGGGGGATTCAGAAGAATGCTATTAATTGATTACGTAACATTACATAATTATGATGTAATTGCGGTTTCTATACATGTTTACGTACTGTTAATAGACTGTCCCAAACAAGCTGATCGTTGTGTTGATATTTCAGACCTGTGATTAATCAGCCAAATATCAGGACTCTAGACCTTTTCCCGACATATCTTACCCCTTTGACTTCGAGAGGTCAAGGTAATTTTTCCACAAACTTTGCCAGAATCATCCATCCCAAAAAACTTAACTAGCCAATTTCAATGACTCTAGGCCTTTTGGTTCTCCAGAAGAAGACCATGATACTATTGAGTGTAAAATTGACTAACATCATCTTCACTCTCTCTACAGATTTTGTGTATAGAATATTGCATTCTCCCATCCATGCGGCACAAGTTCATCCCCATTTTTGTTTGGGAAAAGATAAACCTGTCATTAACGACCTCGGGAAAGACAGTTCACACGCTATTATTCTGAAAACCTTGCCAATTACACATCATCATTATGCAGTGTGAACAAGGTCACGACGTGATTTTTGTCACACAGTCCACGCACCCTTGACGATGGAGGGGTGTATTGGGTTTACTAGTACAACTTGAGGGAAAGAAATTATCACTCACTCCTGTGTGATGCAGACGGGGAATTATCAACCTTTAGGATAAGATTTTTGAAGTTTTGCACTCAACAAAGCTTTAAAAACCTAGCCTAGGGTTGCAATTTCTCTGTCTGCACCATACAGGAGTGATAGAGGCTATTAGTCACCTCTAATTGTATCCCTAAAGTGCAGTAGTTTTTTTTAGTTTTTCTATTTCTATCAATTTAAATCTTTCGTCCTTGCCCTTTTTCTAGCATCTTGTTTTAAAAAACTCCTTGTGCATAAAATTGTCCAACAACAGATGCAAAGACTGTTGACTCGAAAACGGGTAGCCTATAACTGTAGGTTTTTATACTTGTCTACAGAGTATATAAAATTGTATTCACATCTGTCATGGTTGAGGTGTTCGAGACCCAGTTATTTTGTTGGCCTTTGAAAACTTATACCTGTTCACCCAACCTAAATAGTAAAGTCCTCCATTAAATCTGATATCAATTACACATTATCCCAGACATCACGAAATTTACCTATAGGACAGAAATACCTTACCAAAAGTTACTACAGCTGAGGTTACAAAACAATATATGAAATTACAGAAATTTACCTATAGGACAGAAATACCTTACCAAAAGTTACTACAGCTAAGGTTACAAAACAATATATGAAATTACAGAAAATAACATTGAATAAAAAGGATTTTGTATATTTTCTTTAATAAAAAAAATTCAAAACCACGAAAGTATAAAAATGAGGACTTTCAGATGAAGACATGAAAGAAATTCCATTTAGCATAATTAAGGGTTAAAAAATGTTAGATCACACCATTGTCCCTGCCCTCAGACCCATAACATAAAATCAAACCCTGAAGAGGTGAAATTCATATACACCACTCTGCTGTTACAAACAGGGAAAAAACTCTCATGGTGCAAATATATATAAACCAAAGAAAAAAGTTTACTGATTCTGAGTGTTTTAATTGTGTTCTTTTTGAGCAGAATGACATACATGTATTTTAAAGTAGCAATTATTCATGTACTTTATTTGACATAATAAACACCCCACCCACTTTTAACTTCAGGTCTATTGGCATCTAATCCCAACATTTAATAACTTACATGAAAATGAAAAATTTGTCATTTCAGTTTTCTGTAATTTTTTGTTTTTGTGGATTTTGTATGATTTAATTTTCAATGAAACCAAGGCCTGCTTATTAGGTTGATTGCATATTGGGTCCCTTACAAGGGTGACATTGATGTGTCCTAGCTACCTCTGTTAGTTGTGGGTAACGATGTGCCGACATAATAAAACAGGTATTTTAGTTATGTGCTCTGAATCGCACTGAAGGAATACAAAGTCTGACAAAATTACTCTACACATGGCTCACTGGGTGGGTTCTTGATAAAATCTTTTAGCACATATTAAATGAACGGAATTTTGTAAAGTGTATGATAACAAAATTATATATGTCAGAGCATCTACAGAAGGTGTTTTTTTTCAAAGAACAGGGTTGATTTTCTGAAGGTATATTCCAACTGCTCTTTGTTTTCATTGTTTATCACATATTATAACACAATCTGATGCAGACAATTGATACTTTCACCGAGGAGAGTTCGGAAACTAACCCAAGCAATTAATTACCTCAGTAAAGACCCAGTATAATTATGAAGAGGTCTGAGAAAAAAGTAGCCTCCGACACGAGAAGTCCAACCCACACCTGCTGGCCCACCATAATTCAACACAATTAACTGTTTTAGACCTCGAAAGCTCACATTCCATACTCAAGAGGTTATGCTCACACTCCATACTCAAGAGGTTATGCTCACACTCTATACTCAAGAGGTTATGCTCACACTCCATGCTCAAGAGGTTATGCTCACACTCCATACTCAAGAGGTTATGCTCACACTCTATACTCAAGAGATTATGCTCACACTCCATACTCAAGAAGTTATGCTCACATTTGCTCTCTGCATTGCTGGAGTCTGTCATGACAAAATCAAAGACTCAGTATCCACCACCTTGGGGACGATACAAGAAGACTAGTTTGATCCTTTGATGTACATCAAAAGAATCCTGCAACAACATAACAGTAAAATTGACCTGCTTTGAAGTAGGATGTGGCTCCTGTTAGCAACGTGCCTTCAATATTGCCATGAAATAGTATAGTCCAGAGAAGCAGTGAGCATATCTGAGCTTGACTCATGGAGTAGTGAGGAACGAGGGCTGGTTTTTCAGGGGCGTTACAGAATTATTATGAATTGTGAGAACAGAATTCATGTAGGTAATAAGGATCTTTAATGAATTCTCAAATTAAAATATAAATTTCATTTATTTTACAACAATTACGAAACAATTTATTTCAACTTATATTAATCACTCTTGTTGGCCCGAATGTCAGCGCGCTGGGGGTCTAATTGTGGGAGGAAACTGGAGTACCCAGAGAAACCCCATGTAGTCAGGCAGGTGGCCCCATACCTTTTCACGTGCGATCGGGGAATCGAACCCCGGCCGCACTATCCACTGCACCACCCAACCACCCATCGGGTGGAATGATGAAATGAATAGGAAATTAATTTTCTATTTCAAATTTAGTTTATGAAACTCGAGGCTTAAAGCTTATTTTCCTTTAAAAAAGGGTCTGCCAAGCTAAAATGAACACTTCGGGATAAATTTCATAAATCCCCAACAATATGGAAACAAATTCAAGATACTTTTTAAAACATTATCAAGAATCTAGGTCAGTATTAAAGAAAAAAGGTCTTTCTCTAATCATTTCAATCATAAATGTCACCATTTTGACATGTCTAAAAATTTAGAAATCTGACGTCATGAAAAAGTGCATTCAGTACATAACAAAGTTAAGTCAAATTTTAAAAAGACAACAAGCTTCAGCAAGTTTTCCTTTTTAAAATTTAAAATTAAGTTTTGAGAGTTAAATAATTTAAATATGATAATATTCATGAGTTGTGGAATTTCTTCCTTCTAAGTTTGATGATGATATAAGCTGCTTAGGAATTTGTTGTAGGTGATAAGTATGCAAATTAATGCAGAATTTAAACGGTTATGTGTTTGAAGCCCTATAAATACTTTTATCTACTATACTTAAGGTATAGTGATTGATTTTAATCAACTGCAAACTTAAAGGATCCCTGTCCCACTGCACTCTGGGTTTTTTTGTGTGTATATCAGTAACCTCCCTTTTATTTTGTTTCAAATATAACTAGTACGGTTGGGCCAGAAATATAACTGTAGCACGGTTGGGCCAGAAATATAACTGTAGCACGGTTTGGCCAGAAATATAACTGTAGCACGGTTGGGCCAGAAATATAACTGTAGCACGGTTTGGCCAGAAATATAACTGAAGCACGGTTGGGCCAGAAATATAACTGTAGCACGGTTTGGCCAGAAATATAACTGTAGCACGGTTGGGCCAGAAATATAACTGTAGCACGGTTTGGCCAGAAATATAACTGAAGCACGGTTGGGCCAGAAATATA